AGTATAAATCGGTAATCGATAATTATACATTTATATGTTCGCCGAATATCGAATACGTGTGGAAGTTGCGAAAAGGATTGCACCGTTGGAGGCAAGGTGAACGAATCTGAATATAAAACGCGTTACCAAATCGACCCCACCTACGAACGATATTTAGTTTATCACCCGCCAGGGTTATTTTTAACTTTAAGTATCAGTGTGGGCCGCGCGTACTTAATATGAACTACGTGTTCTTAATTATAGCTCTTCATGTTGGTTTTTTTGGTTATTACGGTTTAAAGCAAGCAAATAATCTATTACGAAAACTGCTATTTTATTAATAGTACACTCCGCGTTGATCAAATTTTTTGAACATTCTCATTAGAATACTTTTTCATGCTATAGACTGCATGTATTAACTCGTTTTTTATATCGCGTAATGTAAAAAAAAAGTATATACAGTGGAGAATCTTAAATTTTAACTAGCCCAAAATGAATGGCACTGACGCAACTACTTAAACTCACGTGCCTCGAGGTACGTGAAATGATTGCATTTTTAGATTAATAAATAAATAAATATAAATATGTTGGGACATTAACACAACACCATCTAGTTCCATGGTAAGCTACGAGGCCTGTGTTATGGATACCAGATAGTTGATACACTACATATATATAAGTTTAAATACATACATATTATAAATATAAACACCCATGACTGAGTACAAACATTCGTGCTCATCACACAAATGAATGCCCCCAGCGGGACTCGAACCCGCGACCGCTGGCACTGCAAGTAGGGTCACTACAGACTGAGCCAAGCGTGTCGTCTGACATTTGATCGAAAATTACGGCACTCCATACAAGAGGCCAACTACTTCTTTAAATAATAATATATGAAAGAAAAAACTCAAAAATAATGCGCTTAATAAATACTAGCATAAAACCTTCATCGTTAGATTTTGAAGGAAATATCCTTAAAGGAAATGGAATTACTACGGAAGCCGTGGTCCTACATAAATTAGAAATACCTATATCAAGCAAATATACGTCCTATTCTCAGAAAAAGAGTTAAAAAAGGTGTGAAAAATGTCATTGTTGGAAAAAAAATCTCATCTCAAATCTCATTTTCTCCAAAATATTTTTTCTTTTTTAGTATCTACCTTGTCATCATCAAACAGTTAACTTGGCCGTCTTACGAGTACTGGGTGTTTATAGGTTAATCGAGGCTTCCTCTTACCTAGTTCTCTCATTCATCCATCAAACCATACCTTTGTATGCGAAAATATATTTTTTACTAAACTACTTACTGCATAAATTTGAAAGACTATTTTATTGTGCCTACTAATTTACATCTATATTAACTTACCTATGTAAGTTTGTTGTTGTATTTGATTTACCTTGTATAATTGGATTTAGGACTAAATCTATACGTTTTATTATGAAAGGATGGGGGTCTCCTAATACAGACAAAAATTACTTGCTTAAAAGGGGGCCTCAACCACAAACTTTGTCAGAACTATAATAATATCTTTATGAAAATAAAATATTTTTATTTATTTATTTATAGAGTTAAGTAAAAACAAATTCTCGCATCGCATTCGTTTATCTCGCCACAAACAATATCAAGTAGATAATAATGACTTCAGTCATTAGTCAGTTAGCAGTTCACAACATTATATTAATAATAAGATTTTTTGTTTTTTTTTTAATCTCTTTTGAAAAAATAAATCTATACATATAATAAAATTGTAACTAAGTCAAATCTGTACATTAAATATTTTTTGGAAAATTTAATTGAAATAGACATTATTATCGATACAGAGTCCAAATCTATAGTTTTTAGAATTTTTGTCTGTCTGTTTGTTACCGCATCACGAGAAAACCACTGGACAGATTTTGATGAAATTTGGTATGATGATAGCTGGTTATCCGGAACATAACATATAGGATTTTTTACCGCGGACTTTTTACCGCGGGAAAATATCTCATTGTTGAGAAAAAATACAAAACCTGCATTGTAAGAGTATACTAATATGTAAAACCTAAGAATTTGGTTTTTGGTCATCTGAACACGGGCGGAGCCGCGGGCAATGCTAGTAAAAAATATATATCTATAAGGTATAATATGTCACATAATTACTTTTATTATATTAAAATCTATATAGAGCCACACTTGAGGTATAACGTTATTTTTAATAATTAATAACGATTTATTAAAAGTAGAATCGTGATTTATGAAAATCGATTCACAGCTGATAAAAAAAAAATCACGGTAGCTAACATGACACAATAAACGATTTAGAACCTCCTTCTTTTTCTCCTATGTATTTTGATCAGATATATATAATAGATGTTATAATCAATTTATTAATACGGCAAAAAAAAATTTGAATTGTTTAACAACTTGCAGAAGTAATGTGCATGTTCAATGTCGATATATAAAAAATGGGTTAAACTCTCCATAATCGTCTTATTTAAACCGCGTATTAACGAGTAATACTATGGTATAGTTAGGGCAGCGTCTGATTAACGGATAAGCCACTAAGTACTATATTATACACTAGCGGCTCACCTTCAATTAACTCAGATTCGCCTCTAGAAAATCAAAAAACAAATCTATCCCACGAGAATCGTACAATTTTCCGGGATAAAAAGTAGCCTGTGTTATTCTGATGTTTGAACTATATTATTGTAAAGTTCCATTAAAATCCATTCATTACTTTTTACATGAAAGAGTAACCATACATCTATACATCCAGACAACCATATATCTATACATCGTTACAAACTTTCATCTGGGAACGAATCACGAGAAACCCACTGGACTGATTTCGATAAAGTTAGTTATAATGATAGCTGGTTATCTGGATCAACTTAACTTGTTCTTGTAAATAATAAACTTTTTACTGCGAGAAAATATCTCATGTCTGAGAGATCTAATCTAATCGTACTAATATTATAAATGTGAAAGTTTGTTTGTTTGTTTCTTTGTCCTTTTTTCACGTCAAAACAGTAACGGATTGGCGTGGAGATAGTTGGAGGGCTTGAGAGTGACATAGGCTACTTTTTACCTCGGTAGATTATCTCATTCCCACGGGAAAACACCGTTATAATGCAATCCAAAAAGAAATATTTATGATCAAAATTACTTAAAACTTGGTATTAATACTCTTCTATACAACTAAATAAACTAAATAAATACTTGTTTTAGCATATTTCGAAATTCATCCGAATTCTCCGTTTCATGAATAAGTTACAATACATCAAAATGGTAATTTCAGGAAAATTACCGATCCAAAGGCTAAAATAATTTATTTTGAAATGGTTTTCTTGTACCATGCATATACTCAAACAATCTTGTAAAATATGGGTATGTATATATATATAGGTATGTATGTACAAAATCTTAGACAATAACAATTTGTTTACTTCCTAAGAGGAGTTGCAATAAAAGACAAAGATGCATTATCTTATCTAAATTTACAATCTGCGTTTGGAGTCAAAGAATGTTAATATGAAAATTGAAAATATGTACATGAAAAATAAAACTTTGAGAAAACAATCTTATGCTTTTCCGTGTATTTGCTTACTTGCATTGAGTACTTTTTTTCTACAATGGCGTCACGACTTCTAGTAACTACCTACCACTGTGTTTCTACTAAATAATAATATAATAAAATGACATTTTTATTTATATTATAGTTCATATGGTATTATGGTAAATACTTTTAATTTTATCTATACAGATAAAATTGAAGTGTCTGTTTGTAATGTCAAAATGACAACTTTTTACTAAATGCATATAAAAGTTAATATAGTAAGGAAAACACAATATAAAATTTTTTTGTTTGTCTGATTGTTCTGGCTAATCTCCGAAACGGCTGTACCGATTTTGACGGGACTTTCACTAGCAGACTGCTGATGTTATAAAGAGTAACTTAGGCTACTTTTATTTTAGAAAAAAAATTAGGGTTCCGCTCAAAAAAATAAAACGTAGCTAGAGAAGCGAGAATAAGTCGCTAGTTACCAAATAAATAATTATCTGCTAGAGATCAATCCACCGTTTTAGTTTCGATAGTTTAGCTCCTAATAAAAAAAGAATCTGTAGACTTTGTTCAGTGAAAAAAATATATATAATTGTATAATGTCACTAAAATAATGGTAATCTACAACCAAAATTAACATCAAAATAACTCATAGCCATTTTATTTTTTTTATTTTTTAAATTATACATGACACTGTTTAAAAAAAAAACAGAAAAATCTTATCCAGCATTACTCTGGTAACCCTAATATTATTTAATGATAATATAAAATTACCTATCAATTTTACTAATGAAATATCAGTTCATACTGATGCAACTAAGCAGTTTAAATCATTTAAAACACATAAATTCTCACGGTCTCATTCATGTATCACATAATCATATGTAAAAGAAAAGTTCATACGTTATAATGAGAAAAATTATATTACAATGATTAATACTACCAAAAGCAGAGAGAAAATATTTTAGAGGTATATAGTCTATTCAATGAAAAACAATTATTAAAACTATTTAACATTGTGGATACATCCCTTAAAATACACACAAGGAATTAATACAGCAAAATTAAGAAGCTCATTTACAATTGGACCCAGTTATGCAAAAAACAGCCATTTGCATAAAAGTACCAACAGAGTTATAAGCATTTTTCTATCGATAGTTGCACTTGGGTTATGTTTTGTTTTTCTAGTTATTTTAAAATTGAACAATATATAAATAAGTAACTTATATAAATAAGTATTGTTTATTTTTTATAATAATCTTATTTTTTATAATAAAATGCTCATAACTATGTTGGTATAATACATTTTTTGTGTATCTGTTATCGCTTAAAAATCCTAAATTGTTATTAACCAGAATTTCTCTTGTTAATAACATTCAGTTAAGTGCAACATAGGTTCTTTATATCATCATAATACAAAAACATTGCTACAGACATAAAATAATACAAGCTTTAGGCTAAATTTATACTCACCAAAGGCATCGGCTTCTGCGCAGGAGGTTCTGGAGGGGGACCCCTCACTTTAACCTCACTAGGTTGCCTCCTAACTATAGGGCGCGTTGGAGGCGGTTCATGTTCAGAAATCTCAGTATTTCCACCTAGAGGGGAAGGTCTAGTTTTTTCTGGTGACCTTTGTGCTTGTGCAGGAAAGCGAGACACATCTGATCTTATTTGCCCATTAGGTGTGGTACCTGCAATAATAAAACAATGTTATAATTATTTAAGGATATTTATCACCTCCAGGTAAATTTCTAAGAAATTATTTTTTCTAAGAAATCTATTGTTAATGTATATATGTAATCTATTGTGTATGTCCGCGGTCGTTGAGGGATTAAAGGCTGTAATCATAACATTTAATAATTTCCAATAAAACTCCTTAAAGAATTATCATATACATAATGTAGTGAATATGCTATTTCTGACAGAAAGAAATTTAAGCAACTTTAACATTCACAGTAACAGTTTTACTTTCTAATAGATGATTTTATATATAAATGATATCAAACTTCATTTAAAAATACCAATTTGAGGTATCAAAATCTTATTCAGTCTAGAACTAAGGAAAATATGAGAAAAGCAGGTGGTAGCTTACCTGTCATGTTGTCATGCAACAACATAATCCAGGCAAAGTATTTGTTTTCATGTCATAGTTGTTGCTGTCAGCTCAAATACTAACATGTTTATATATTTCTATTTTATATGTTTTGCATTATGAAATAAGAAGATTTTTTATATAGTTTAAAAGTTCTACATAGAAGGAAATAAATTTTGGACCCACTATTAAAACTAATAAATTTTGTAATAAGCTAGATAAAATTCAGATAAGAAAGAACCTTTATCATTAATCTATTACATTCAAATCACTAATTTGTTACATATTAAAAACATTAATAATAATATGACATTTTACCTGCCAATTTTCCAGTAGGCCTCAATTTAGGCATGCCTCCAGCAAATAGACCTCCCAAACCAGGCATTGGACCACCTCCATTTGGCACAGGAGCTGCACTTTTCACACTATTTCCTACTGGAGAACCACTGTTTGACACATTTGACACTTTTCCTGGTATATATGGTCCACTTTTGTCTACTGTTACAGCCTTTTTTAATTTTGTTCCTTGCCGTATAGAGCTTAATAATGCGTTGCGATTGTCAGACGAACCACCTTTCGAATTACCGAAAACTGGTGGAGGTGGAGGCCCAGGAGGTGGTGGAGGCCCAGGAGGCGGTGGAGGTCCAGGAGGAGGTGGTGGTCTCGGAGCCATAGTTCAATTATAAATAATAGTAAACACAATATGCCATAGGAGCCAAGAACACTAAACTGTTTACTTGTGTACACTCGTTGTCCTCACAACACGAATGCACGGTGATACTGAAGCGTGATAAAAACATTCAATCGACGATACGTCATTCCACACCGACCCATGCTAATTTACATAAAATACTAAGAGCCTTGCCCTAAAAGATTAATCATTGTAGGAAGTACGTAGGCACGAGAAATTGTTTTAACTGGTATCACCTCATTATCGTTATCTATGCATATATGAATAATCAAATACCATTAACTAAGGTGCTTTCTACTCTTCAAAAATTTTATAAATAAATATCCCGTAAGCTTTGTGATAGTTCTTCCTAAATTGGTTACTCAAGAATGAACAAAATTCATCAAATTCACAAATTGCAATATGGCTGAACACAGCTGTCATGATAGTGTTGCTAAGTAAGAAAAAAAATTATGGTACATTTAAATTATTACAAAATTTATATGTATCATCTAAATAGTAAATACCAATCCTAATGTTTTTAATTGTCATTTTTAAACTAACTTTTTAAGTCATTAAAAAACGCTAAATATATTTATATATAAGATAAATCATCATGATTTTTTATTAATGAATTGAACTAGCAGTTGCAGACATAGTATCATCAGGGCGCATAGAAGTATATTTCAATAAATTAGAATCATAGCTAGCTTCACTTCCACCTTGGGTAAAAAGAGCGGCCTGCAAGGCTGCACGCTCAGCTGCAGCACGTTCTTCACCAATTTTAATTTCTCTTTCAATATCTAATTCTTCATTTTCCTGAGCTAATTTTTCCTTAAATTCCATATTTTGCCTATATTTAACCAAACGAGATGATAAATATTTAATTGGATCAGCTGGCTGATGCAAAATAACATCAGCAATGCATTCACGTAACGCTTTTCCTACAGTGTTTTTAAGATATTTAAAATCTTCGGTGACAGGCACGTCATCTGGACAAGGTTTAAATATATCCAAATGGCTCCGAATTCGGACAAGATTTCCTAAACCGTCATTTTCGTATTCGCTAACTGAATCAGTATCACGATAAATATGTTTTCCCTCGTTATTTATATAATAGCGACCATAATTATCATAATAATAAATTACTCCATCTCTTTCTTCTTTTGTCTTTAAAAGTACACCAGAACTGTCCATCATATATTCACTAGCAGTTTCATGAGCTTTGTAAACCCTTTGTCGCGTTTGTTGATCAATAAAATATCTCCCGCACTCATCATAAAAGAATATATGATCTTTATCATCAGTTAATGGTACTAGCAAGTTATGCTCATTTGGTTGATATAGAGTCTCATCATTAGGGAGCTTATAAATTTTTCGGCTATGTTCATCAACATAAAAAGTACCAAGTTCGTCAGTAAATTCTTCTTTTATATCTGCGGCACTAAGAATAGAAATAATAGATTTGTGACTACGTTCACCGTAAACGGCTATGTCCCATATATAACACAGTTCTGTTACTAAGCGTTCCCGTTCTTCATTTGGCAGAGCATGATTAAATATTCGTAATTGATAAAAATCCTCACAAACACAAATTTCATCTTCTATTTCTTCCAGTTGTGTACCGGTCAGCTCTTGCAATTTTTTCAAAGTAGTTTTTAAAGTTTCAAGAGATACAAGTCTATTTTCTAAATATTCTTTTTTATGTTTCAAAGCCATTAAAGCCGCTGAGGTTGGTTCATGTTCTAATCTGGATATACGATCTTCCAAGACGTTTATTTTTTCTACAACCTTGCTTATTTCCAGACTATGAACGGCAGTACATCGTATCATTGAACTTAGTTGTTTACCTTTTTCTTTTAAATTTTCTAACAATTTTTGGACCGAAGGAGATTTAGAAGTATGTAAATCTTCAACAATCTGTTGTAATGTTTTAGTTAAATCTCCAGTTATATGAGGAACATGGACATTTATATATTTAGTTAATTGCATCGATAGTCCATCATATATTTTATCAATCCAATTAAGAAGCTCTTCTATAGCATCTCTTACTTTAATTTTAAATTCGTCATTACTGACATAGCTTCTAAAGCACTTTAATTTTTCTAAAAGTACCAGAATTACATCTTTATGCATATTTTCGACAATTTCTATATCAGACATTAGGTTAGCCTGATTTTCATTTGATAATGACGTTCGATATTTTGCCATATATTTTTGATAATATTTTAATCTATTTGTCATTGCGTCTATAGTGTAACTTATAGCTTGAAATATTTCTTCCCTAGGAATTTCATCAATTCGTTTATAATATTGCTCTACATCTTTGATTGCTTGTAGCCATTCTAAATGAAAGTCAACAATTATATTCATTATTTCAGGTTTCGAACCTTCTAAAAGAGCTGCCCGCATTGAACACATTGTGTTAAATATAGTGTCTGAATAATCATTCTTAGTTAAAAATATTACTGGTGCTTCATAAAATTGTTTTACTTCCGTGGATATATCAAAAAGGAAAGTAACACTTGTTTCTTCATCAATTGCAACTTTTACTGAGCGCCTAGAAGCCATTGTAAATATTAATCAGCATAAATATCACTATAACTACTATTATTTTTCTTTATCAAAATCTCTATCGAATAAAATCGAAAAATATTATTATAAACGTCACTAAAGTTATTTTTAAATTTAAACATTTTTATGACGAAAGGTTATTGATACGAGGTTTAATATAATAGTTAATTTTATACATATCATAACAATTTAGTAAAAATTTAACTGATTTTGGTAGAAATTAGAAATACTATACTTTTAAGAAACGGTAACCCTGTACGCGTCTACGATTTGTTTCTGAAAAGGTCGTCGATGACTTTGCGATTATACAAAATTACAAAGAAAGTGTAGCTGTTGTTGTGTCATTTTAATATACATTTTTTAAATAGTTAACGTATACATTATGGCCGGTGCGATGTTATTTGAGAGATCACGAGTCTCATCGTCGAACAGAGACGAAGACGTACGCATGACTGACAAAATGGTTAGCACTGGAGAACTTCCCGAAGATGACGAGGAAAATATTAGAGCAAAGGAGCAAGGCATATTAAACCTTGGCGAGAAATATAAGAAAGAAGGCAAAGCTAAGGAACTCGCTGAATTGATAAAAGCAACGAGACCGTTCCTCAGTCTGATAAGTAAGGCTAAGGCTGCAAAATTGGTTCGGTCCCTCGTGGATTTCTTCTTGGATTTAGAAGCTGGTATTGGAATAGAGGTTCAACTGTGCAAAGAATGTATAGAATGGGCCAAAGAAGAACGTCGTACGTTCTTGAGACAATCTCTCGAAGCCAGGCTCATCGCACTTTACTTCGATACCGGTATGTACACAGAGGCTTTAGATTTAGCCACTGCACTTTTGAAGGAATTAAAGAAGTTAGATGATAAGAATTTATTAGTGGAAGTACTGCTTTTAGAGAGTAAAACTTATCATGCACTTAGTAATTTACCCAAGGCCCGTGCATCTTTGACATCTGCAAGAACCACAGCAAATGCCATCTACTGTCCTCCTAAGATGCAGGCAGCACTTGATTTGCAATCTGGAATTCTCCATGCTGCAGATGAGCGTGATTTTAAAACTGCTTACTCTTATTTCTATGAGGCCTTTGAAGGTTATGATGGTGCAGACAGTCCTAAAGCACTAACTGCACTTAAATATATGTTGTTATCTAAAATAATGCTTAATCAAGCTGAAGAAGTTTCCACTGTTTGTAGTAGTAAAACTGCCCTTAAGTATGCAGGCAAAGAATTAGAAGCTATGAGAGCTGTGGCTACTGCATCACACAAGAGATCTCTTGCCGACTTCCAAGCTGCATTAAAAACTTACAAACCAGAACTTGAAGAGGATGCAGTGGTGAGAGCTCATTTGGGGGCTCTATATGATACTATGCTGGAACAAAACTTATGTCGCATTGTAGAGCCATATATGCGTGTTCAAGTAGATCATGTAGCCAAATGTATCCGTCTGCCAGTTGTTCAAGTAGAGAAAAAACTATCCCAAATGATCCTTGATAAGAAACTAAATGGAATTTTGGACCAGGGAGAAGGTGTATTGATTGTCTTTGACGAGTCCCCTCTCGATAAGACCTATGAAACTGTTCTAGAAACCATCCATCATATGAGCAAAGTTGTTGATACCCTCTATCAGAAAGCGAAGAAACTTTCATAGGCCCTTGTAAATTTGTTGTAGCATTAAAAGTATAAAATATATATCAGATAACCATAAAAAATTTCAGTTCAAATAATTGTAAATTAATGCTATTTTTTAAATGCTTAAATTCATTAACATTATAATTTTCTATAAAGCTAAATGAGTTGACACTACTATAGATTAATAACAGAGAAAATATATTCTTTTTTCCTTTGTATGAAATTTAAAAATGTTAATCAGTTAAATATACTAATTTCATTTTAACCATCCTTTTTAACTTATGCTAGTGAAAAATTGTAAAATTCTGTTTTTTTGAGAATAAACGGTGTTCTCTAAATAGTGTTGTTTACTTCGCTTCACACCCACTGCAGTCTTGCAAGTCATTTTATTTTAAGTGTTGGCACATGGTTTGCATCCAATTTGAATCATCGGTACAGTGCACTTAAGACATGTGGCCTTGTATTTGAGTATATTAACTTGCAAAATGAGACAAAATTTGAGTATATTTTTATTACTATTTATTGACAGTAACATTTCTTAACATAAAGGGTATTTATTTTTGTATCGAGTTATTAATTCGGGCATTAAAATAATACTAGGAAATAAATATCTTATATCTTTAAATTAGCTATTCTTGTATTGTATGAGCCATTTTATATATATATATATATATATTATATATATATATATATATATATATATATTATATATATAGATATATAATCTGAATCCTTGAAACGGCTGCAACGATTTTCATGAAATTTAGTATATAGGAGGTTACGGGGGCGATAAATCGATCTAGCTAGGATTCATTTTTAGAAAATGTCGTTTTATTCGTTTTTTAATAATCAACTTTATCGATAATCAACTAAAACATAAACTTTTTTCATTGGAAGAAAAATAACAAAAACATGGCGTTTGGATAGTCCTAAATGAAAAAAGAATGACTCATCCTGACATCTATTGACGAATAACAATACTATTTTTTTTTAATTGGAAGCAACTAACTGCTTTAACGACATACTAAAGCTACTCCAGCAGATGGCGTTGTTAAGCAATACTAGTCACTATTCAGTATGTATACTAGTGATGTGCCAACTCGGAAAAAATATAACTCGAATTAACTCGATTTGAAATTCACGTAACTCGAGTTAACTGGATGAAAAATGCAGTGAATGATTTGTTTTATTTGTACCAATTTAATGACTCGGCTTCGCAACAATATTAAAAAAATGGTACAGATTCTAAATAAATATTTATTGGGACAATTATAATTATTTATATTTTTTATATTTATTTATTTATATTATTACTAGCAGAACCCGCGGCTTCGCTCGCGCTAAAACTCCAAAAAAACACTCTAAAAAGGTAGGTTTCATACGAAATTTTATCCGCTATTTTACCCCCTAACGGGATAAATTTCGAAGAATGCTAAAACATATTTTTATTTAATTGTATTGAAGAGCGTTAATACCAATTTTCAAGTAATTCTTATCATAAATATTTTTTTGGGTTGTATTATAACGTGTTTCCCCGCGGAAATGAGATAATCTTCCGCGGTAAAAAGTAGTTTATACCACTCTCCAGCCCTTCAACTATGAACTATCTTCACCAAAGAAATTACCCTAGTCCGTTACTCCGTTTCGACGTGAAAGAAGTACAAACAAACAAACATTCTCTTTCACATTTATAATATTAGTATGGATATTATAACGCTGTCATCCGGTTGAAATGCTATAACGAGAGTACGGACGACAGCGATTAAGTGAAATACTGTGGCATCTTATTCGGTTGTAATAGGAGCGATTTTGCAACATAAATGTGTAGTCTGAAGTGCTGATGACTGTACCACGGTAATATTACATGCAGTATCTTCATACAAACGGTCGGAAATCGAGTTATACCTACGCGCGTCGCGTTCGGTATACACTCGGTAGACAACCGTGCGGGGCTGCCAGATCGTATAATTGAATACGAATTTTCGTATAAGGTGGTTATGTTATGTAACTTTTATAATTTCATACAAAAATAACCATTTTATTCCTCCCGTAACTTCGCTAATGTCAAACAAAAAAGTATCGAGACATCGTAGGTTTTAAAAATAAAAATTAATTAATTAAATTAAAAATTAAAGTATTTTTAATTAAACTTTTTATCCGAATGCGGATTCTTTATACTATTAAATTTAACAATAAAGCTTTTCGTATGTCTCAGTCGAGGCGCAAATATTTTTAAATCTCAAATTTATAAGGGTCACATACTACCCTTATAAATTTGAGATTTTTTAATTAAATCTACTAATAATAGTTTTTAAATAAAAAATATAATATATATTTGAAATCACAAAATTAGAAAGAAACTCAAGTAGGTAGATGAAATTAAAATACTGGCCGGCGGGCAGCCCTGTCGCGTGGGTACGTGCCGCTTGGTAGGTAATTATTTCAAGGACAGGGCCGAGTTGGAATACTGTATGCATTACATTACCGTGACTGTAGAAAACATGAACACAACGAATGAATCGCCGCGTTTGCGTAAGGTCAATCGCGTATTCGCTTGATTCGTTCATTTACTACGTAAATCCAATTTGAGTCAGAGAGAATTCAACTCGAGTTAATTCGAGTTAAGCCCAACTCGAGTTAACTCGAGTTGGTAACTCGAGTTGACAAATCTGTATTCAGTATTGTATACTAATTACTATTCACTAAGCCAATGAGTGTTTGCCAATTGCCTGTTTGGTTTGAACTTTAAGGTTAGACCAAGAAAATGAATTGTTTATTTATATTATTTGTGTCTTTTTAACTCACGTGTTCACTTAAAAATGGGTAAACGATCTTGGAAAAAAACGCTTATAAACAATCTAACTTCACGAAGACGCAAGTCGTCTCAAGAACACCTTAAAGAACATCGTCATAAAAGTGGTCAGGTTTCTCAAACTTCACATAGTGAAGACTCATTTCAAGAATATCCTCATGAAAATAATCAGGTTACTGCTCGTCCCACACGTGCTGCTAAGGTAAGATGCTTGCAAAACTTGACTAACATTACACGAGCAGAAAGGTCTTATGATTTAAATGTTTCACGAGAGCGTGCGGCAGACCGTGTAGCTAATGAAAATAACGATCAACGACAACGACGTCTGGAAGATTTGCGGCAGCGTGCGGCACAACGCAAAGCTACAGAAACTGACGAACAACGAGAGCGACGTCTGCGAGATTTGCGGCAGCGTGCGGCACAACGTATAGCTAATGAAACTGACGAACAACGAGATTACCGATTAGAATTACAAAGATATCGAAACAGAAGATGTCGTACGGCTTTAGAAATTAATAATAAATTTGGCCGGAAGTGCCCAACTAAAACTCCTGTTAAAAAATTCTGTAAAAATCAAATAAATTGTCCCACTCCAAATCTCAGGAAATGTCCAAACATAGCTCCTGTTAAAAGCAGAACTCAAAATTTCAATTTTAATAGGTCCTCCATGAAAATTAAATTTAGGCACACCATAATATATATATCTGTGTAATTGGTTGATAAACTAAAAAATTACTTATTTATTTCTAATATAACTTTAAACTAATTGCACTCGTGATTTTTTTATTTATAAATAACCAATTGATATTTCGTTGGCTTACAAGGTTCTATATTAATTTTAATTAAGTTTAGTAATTTGACTTTAAAATTTTTGACTTTCGAAAAATGTATGCTTATTAGTCCTAATCAGTAAGTGACAGTTTATTAGCATAATTAAGAGCTACATGATGCTTTCTAGGAACTAGCCAATAAAGAAAAAAAAATTGTTATTGTCTTTAATATTAAGCAATAATATCGAAATTAAAATAACATAGAACTTTGTGATGGAAAAAAATATTTTTATTTATTTTAACCAGAACTTAGGACTTTGTTTTATTGAAATAAGTAAAAGATATTAGTTTATGCCCAAGTTAAGTACTAATTTTCTTGAGTCATCTGAACTATTATAAAGATTATAATGTTACCATGTCTCAGTAGCATTAAAAAACATTACTTGTATATGAAATTTATTTATTATCATAAAAAATGGTTTACACTTTGAATATTGCTTCATAGAACTCCTTGTCCACTGTAGGCATCATCGATACATAGATCGTACATTATCCATTTTAGTCTTGCATAATAAAGGTCTTTACAATAGTTTTGGTACTGTCAAAAAATTTGTATTTACATTCCTTCGGGTTTGTATTTATATTTCTGGGGTCTCAAATTAGCGACAGTGTATGATTTTGCTGTGTGTGAACATCTAAAGCTCACTTTAAATTGTGACCTCGTAAATCTAAGCTGTGTCACTGAAAAAAGGCACTTTATTTTAATATTATATTTTATTTAATATTTATTTTAATATTTATTTTAATAATATTTTAGTCCTGAACAGGCTTCCTTGAAAATTAAAGAAGTTGTTGCTACTAATTTGTAGGATAAAATAGGGTTTGGCTGAATTAACTTGCAATAATAGTCTCATGAGAAAAAAAGGTGAATAATATTCAGCCTTTGACAGGACTCTATGAATACAGCTATGCACATTATCAATTTCTTGAATGCGTGAATATCCAGATGTTGAAAATTTCATGGTAATTTCTTCCAATGTAGAAAAATTATCCATAAGCTGTCTTAAAGCAAAGCTCATGATACTGTTACATTTCTGTGGAACACAACTATCACTCCATAATATGATTGATGTGAAATGCGGGTTGTCAAGCAGAACCTCTTTTAAAATTTTGTGTATAGGACTCTCTATATCATTTCCACTTCTTCCAGCAGTGTTCTCACTCCAAATGGCACAATACATTTTTTTATTAGTAGAAAGATGGCCAGTCATGTTGTAAGTAGAAAATTTACTTTTGTAAAAAAATTGCTACTTCTGCCTTGGGACAGGATAAAACATTTTCTAGATCAAAGCACAATACTGGAATTGTATCTTTTCTGTCTGCATTACGGTTTGTCCTAGCAGCCACCTTTTCTATTTTGTGCCTGTTTATCTTTTCTTGTAAATCTGATGTCAAAGTATTCTTTACCCACACCCATCTATAATATACCCTTCTTTGTGATTTAAATCAACCTCCTCGCGCAAATCACATGTCTTTTTTTGGTTTTTGGAAATAGATATTAAAATCATTGCAGAATATACGCCGGTATACTTCTTCCTTAACTGGAAGCTTGTTCTTTTCTTCAATCCAAATAACATAGAGTAAATACATTTTTTTAATAGATAAATAGCATTCTAAATACTCTCTAGAAGAGTCTTTCCTGCAATAATATGATGGAATCCGGGGAAATGAATTAATGTGTTCCTTAACAAGAAGTTTATCTTCTTCAGATGTGGCTCTTTTTATATGCTTACCTTGTTTGCTGGGCGAAGGAGTATTTGAGACTTTATTCTTTGTCTTGTGAACATTATATATTGGTTTCTGACTAATTGCTAAAGTATCACAGAAAAAAGTTTTACATACTTTTATCTTCACACTGTTAACCATGAAAAAAAACTGATAACTGTCTTTTTTCTTCGAATTTTCATAATTTTTGCCTTTGCGCCTCCTATCAGGTTGTAAACAACTTGTGTTATTCAACAAAAACATTCTTTTTTCTTCTGAAGATAAGTTATAATAATCGGTAAAAATTGATAACCTTTCATCATCAGTAATCTTTTGGCTACATTTAAGCACACATTTATTTAAACAATCCTTGCCTTTTCTTATCTTCTTTGGCGGGTTTAGCTTCTTTCGAACAGACACATATTCTAACCCCTTATTTCTTGCATCTTTGCGTTTATTACACTCCCACTCTTGTTCATTTCTCTGTCGCTTACGTGATCGTTTTTTAAGCCGTGCTTCACCCACAACAACTTTGGACTCTGGTAACTTTTCTGTACCAAACTGATTATGTCCGGACCTGAAAGTAAAAGAACTAGGTAGTTTAGTTCATGAAAATCAACAATTCAAAAACATCTTGAACTGTTTGGTATGAAATTAAACTCAACTAGCCTTTCAACTTCGTCAGTATCTGTAGAACTCATAAAACTTAAGGATACACGGCAAGGAGGTGACGGAGGCAAGAAATCCTTATTTTTCATTGAGTCATCACTCGAATAATCTAAATTGATATGCTGCTCATCCATTCTACACAAAATTATTCTAAAATATTAAATTGAGATGACACTGACAGCTGACATAGAACTTTGGCCACATAGAGAAGTTACCATAGATCATCAAATAAAACTCTAAACAAGGTCCTATGTTTAACATAGAATCTTGCTATCCTAAAAAAAGCAAAAATTGAATGGTTCTATGTTTTACATAGAACTTCGTTATTTTGTTATCGTAAAAAAAACTACATAGAACTAGGTACCTATGTAAAATTAAATATTTTGTAGGTGAAGTGCTAATGACACATAGAACCTTGTAGCATTCATAACTAAATAAGTACTAAAGTTGTAACATAGAACCTTGTAATAGTGAGCCAACGATTTTTTTATTATTATGTTATGTTGATAAGATCGAAAAATATTATTCATATTTCATCAGTATGTAATTTGTATTTAAATATAATTTTTAAAAAACACAATTTACCAAAAATAAAAAATACTGAGCAAATCTCGATCATCCAGGTACTATGATTTTAATGAGGTACTATTTAGGCAATGTTTATTTGTGCAGTTTTAGTGAATGCCGGTCAGAAATCAAATTAATATTTCCAAATTAAAATGTTATATTAAGACCACTTTTACCCGATTGCGGCAGAAGGAGGGTTATGTTTTTTGAGAGTATGTTTATTTTTTTGACACGATCTATGCCTAAACAGCTTAATGAATTTTAGCTTGAGATATAATATCTCTAGATTCGTCTTAATTGTGATTTGTGAGAGTGCTGAGTGACACTGAGTATATTATAAAAACTAAAATGCTCGATTTTTGGCGTCACATCATGTCTTCAAAACCTGTCGAGTGGGGACTGAGGTATCAAAATAAAGGGGTTTATAAGTGGCTTACATAAATATATACAACTTATATGTTTAAATGTAATTTGGTATGAAAAATTCTAAAAACTAATATATATATATATATATATATATATATATATATATATATATATATATATTAATATATATATATATACAAAAATAAAAAACACGACTGCGTAAAAAGAGAACTCAAAAGATGAGAAGCTATATAATACAAGAATTGCTCGTTTAAAGATATAAGAGATTCTTTGGTCAATATTTACTTAAGGCCATAAGTGTATACAAAACTGAGAAAACTCGTGTTAAAATGGAAATTGTCGTATGCAAATCTATACTAATATTATAGAGGCACTTTGTTTGTTTGAACGCGCTAATCTCAGGAACTAAAATCCGATGTGAAATATTCTTTTTGCATCAGATAGCCCGTTTATTGAGGAAAGCTACATAATATATATCATCATGCTACTACCCAAGGGAGCGGATGAAGATGTGTCAACTCGATTTACTAACTCGACTTAGGCTTAACTCGAATTAACTCGAGTTGAATTCTCTCCTCGAATTTGGATTGGCCTAGTAAATGAACGAATCAAGCGAGTACGCGATTGACGCGCTCTCACTCTTACGCATTTTACGATTAATACGATTCGTTCGTTATATGCACTCTTTGTATAGTCGTCAGCACTTCAGACTATACATTTATGTTGCAAAATCGCTCCTATTACAATCGAATAAGATGCCAGTGCTTAACTAAAATATCTGCCGTCCGTACTACCGCCATAGCGTATAAATCGAATGACAGCGTTATAATAACCATACTAATATTAACTGCCTCGGTGGTGTAGTGGCTAGCATGTACGGCTGCACACTCGGAGGTCCTGGGTTCGAGTCCCGGGTCGGGCCAAGTTTAGTTATTGAGTCTTTCTGTATAGTAAGTCTCAGTAACAGCCTGGAGTTGGAAAGTTGGCGGTGTTTCACCCCCGTGCCTCGAAGAACACGTAAAGCCGTCGGTCCTGCGCCTTAACTCTCACTGGTCGTGTCGAGCAGTCGTCCCACCGGAGTATGAGAGTGATAGGAATAGGGAGTGCACTTGTGTCTGCGCGTACACTTGTGTACTATAATATCTCCTGCGCAGTTGGCTAGTCTCAATGAGATTGGCCGCCGTGGCCGGAATCGGCCAAGAGAACATCATCATCACTAATATTATAAATGTGAAAGTGTGTTTGTTTGTCCTTATTTCACGTCGAAACGGATTGGGGTAATTTTTTGGGTGAAGATTTGAAGTTGGAGGGCTGGAGAGTGATATAAGGAACTTTTTACCGCGGAAGATTACCTCATTCCCACGGGAAAACACGTTGTAACACAACCCAAAAAAATATTTATGATCAGAATTACTTGAAACTTGGTATTAAGGCTCTGGAATACAATTAAATAAATACGTGTTTTAGCAGTCTTCGAAATTTATCCCGTAAGGGGGTAAAATAGGGGATGAAAGTTTTTATGAAACCTACCTTTATAGTGATTTTTTTGTAGTTTTTGCGCGAGCGAAGCCGCGGGTTCTGCTAGTTATAATATAAATAAATAAATATAAAAAAAATAATTATAATTGTCCCAATAAATATTGATTATGAATCTGTACCATTTTTATTATATTGTTGCGAAGCCGACTCATTAAATTGGTACAAACAAAACAAATCATTCACTTCATTTTTCATCCAGTTAACTCGAGTTCAATTCGAGTTACGTGAATTTCAACTCGAGTTAAATCGAGTCATATTTTTTCCGAGTTAGCACATCACGCCGGAGCAGTAATCAAACAAATCGGGCAAACTTCCATACATTATCGTGAAACTAATGTTTATAATAAATGCTTTATGCTCAGAAACGTTGGTCAAATACTCATCATGTAGAGTAGCAAACGTATACGAAACATGCATAAATATATAATCAAATTTAACACAGATGAAACCGCGGGGAAAAACTACATAGTTTCTATATAACATGGTACAGTTCTTACTACACTTTGTACTTAGATTTTTTTAATTCTGCAGATGAAATCTCCCCTGACATAGAAATAAACCAACTGCTTTTAGTGCAGACTTTTGGCGTGCTTTTTGAAGCTGTAGAGTTGGCTCCATATATTATGGCACTTAAAAAATAAAACAAGGAATGTCATATAGTGTTAAAAAAAAGAGTTGCATGTTGTATTTTTTTTTATTAAAACATCTGTACAGCATTAAATGTTAAACATTCGAATTAACAATTATTGTACTACTCAGTTGGTAGTGACCCTACTTGATGTGCCAGCGGTCGCGGGTTCGAGTCCCGCTGGGGGCATTCATTTGTGTGATGAGCACGAATGTTTGTATTCCAGTCATGGGTGTTTATATTTATAATATGTATGTATTTAAAGATATATATCTGTAGTGTATCAGTTATCTGGTATCCATAACACAAGCCTCGTAGCTTACCATGGAACTAGTTGGCGCTGTGTGTTAATTTCCCAACATTTATTATTATTATTAATTATGTGAAAATATTGATATAAAAATAGCACTATTTTAGATTTTTTAAAAGGCACTTATCTTGAGCATTGCTTGTTTTAAATTATCATTATAATATTTCTTTAAGATGCAAAATTTTAACTATTACTATATTTTAAAAAGTAAAAACAATATGGCAGCCTTCTTAATATTCAGATGAATTTTTAAGTAAGCGTAGATAGCTTATTTTTTCAGTGAAAAACGCTTTGACTTTTACGCAAATTTCAGTAATTAAAATTATATCACATTATTTAAAAAAAAATCAATTCAGTAAATTAAGAAAATTCTAGAATCTAGATAATTTACGCTTACTTAAAAAATACCTTTTATATTATGTAATTTAGTAAAATATATGTACACATTAAATACTAAATTACACTACATACATACTACATTTTCCTTATTTATCTATACATATAATAAAATTGTAACTAAGCCAAATCTGTACATTAAATATTTTTTGGAAAAGCTTATTGAAATAGACTATAATATCGATACAGAGGCGAATCTATAGTTTCTCGAATTTTTGTCTGACTGTCTGTCTGTTTGTTACCGCATCACAGAAAAACCACTGGAGGGATTTTGATGAAGTTTGGTATGATGGTAGCTGGTTATCCGGGTCAACATATAGGATAATTTTTACCGCGGGAAAATATCTCATTTCTGAGAAAAAATACAAAAACTGCAACATAAGAGTATATGTAAAACCTATGAATATGGTTTTTGGTAATCTGAACGCGGGCGGAGCCGCGGGTAATGCCAGTATTATTATATATTATACTAGCATTGCCCGTGGCTCCACCCGCGTTCAGATGACCAAAAACCAAATTCTTAGATTTTACATTAGTATACTCTTACAATGCAATTTTTGCATTTTTTCTCAGAAATGAGATATTTTCCCGCGGTAAAAAAAGTATCCTATATGTTGACCCGGATAACCAGCTATCACCATACCAAATTTCATCAAAATCCCTCAAGTGGTTTTTTGTGATGCGGTAACAGACAGACAGACAGACAAAGATCCTAAAAACTATAGATTCGGCCTCTGTATCGATAATAATATCTTTTTCAATAAGATTTTCCAAAAAATATTTATTGTACAGATTCGGCTCAGTTAGAATTTTATTATATGTATAGATTATTAAATAAAATTGAAGTGTCTGTTTGTAATGTCAAAAAAACAGCTTTTTACTAAATGCATAATATGGAATTATATACGGTATTTATAAGAAAAACACAATTTTCAAAATGTTTGCGTCTGTTTGTTCCGGCTAATCTCCGAAACGGCTGGGCCGATTTTGACGGGACTTTCACTGGATGATAGCTGATGTTATAGGGAGTAACATATGTCACTTTTATTTCAGTAAAAGAATTGGGTACCGCTCAAAAAAAATAAAACGTACCCAGGGACGGACCCGAACGAAACGAGAGTGAGTCGCTACCGCTAGTTTGTGTATATAATATCTTCTGGAAACGGTTAGTTGGTCTTAGTAAGACTGAATATCATAACTAAACATTATTGCGTCGGTTGAACTCCTCCGTGTCCTGAGGCACCTCCCACCTCGGGTTCCAGAAGCCATCAGGGGTTTTGGGCCTGACGGGGTTGCAGCGGCCGCGGTGTTTCGAACATTCCTCCATTTTCTTCGCGAGCATCTCCGGATCGTCTTTGTATAGATCGTCGTAGAACTGTTGGAAAAATATATTCATAGAATAGAATATTTGATGGCACGTTTGGCTCAGTTTGTAGTGACCCTACTTGCTGTGCTAGCGGCCGCGGGTTCGAGTCCCGCTGGGGAATTCGTTTGTGTGATGAGCCGAATCTTTGTACTCCAGTCATGGGTGTTTATATATAATATGTACGTATTTAAAGTTATATATGTGTAGTGTATCAACTATCTGGTATCCATAACACAAGCCTCGTAGCTTACCATGAAACTAGATGGTGCTGTGTGTTAATGTCCCAACATGTTTATATACAAAAAATCATTTGACCTAACGTGTGTGTGTGTATGTGAGTGCGTGCGTGTGTGTGTGTTTGTGTGTGCGTGTATATGTACGCTACTTTCTCACACTATAACGGTTCAAGTTCAACAAACTTGAAAGCGTGTAACTCATAATAGAGATAGCTAATTATCGTAAAGTAACAAATAGGCTTATATTCACCAATGTGCCTGACACGAGCAGAGTCACGAGCAGGCACTAGTAGCACAAAAACTTACTTGTTTACAATCATCACAACCCCAGCCTGGTAACGCCCTCTTCTCCATCTTCTTACGAGCCGCCGGCTCTTTGTACAATGGCTCCATATCTGATTTGAATCTGTAAAATATATAGTGCTCTATTTACTGTTTTTAAATAAAACTATCTTTTCGGATTATTTTATTAATTATTTTCTCTTCATGTGCATTATCAAATTCCAAAAATTCCATGACGACATTTCGTCGCCTTAGTGCTTATTTGTTCATACGACCAACACTTGTTGTAGTAGTAGTTATTTTCTTCTATTTTAAAAACAATATATATATATATATATATATATATATATATATATATAGGTAAATACATATTTTTCGGCTTTCTTAAAGTAAAATGTGTGATTAGAATTGACATTTAAAAATCAATAATTCTGTATTAAAAGCTCTTTCGGTAAATTGGTCGTTTGGACAATATGCATTGGGTGCTTAGTTAAAAATTGAGCAACTTATAGTAAGTTAACAAAGCCAAGGCAAAATAGTTTATTACATTAAAATATAATCATATCTATACATATAATAAAATTCTGAGTCGAATCAGTACATCAGATATTTTTTGGAAAATCTTATTGAAATAGTCATTACTATCGATACTAATCTATAGTTTTTAGAATTTTTGTTTCGTCTGTTTATCTGTGACCGCATCACGAGAAAACTACTGGACAGCTTTGATGAAATTTGGTATGACGATACTCATAGCTGGTTATAGGATATTTTAAAAAGTAGCAGCAGTAAACTGTGGGAAAATATCTCATCTCTGAGAAATCTATACTAAACGTTTAAACCAAGCGAAGCAAAGGCGAGTTGCTAGTAAACTAGTAAATAAGTAAATTGTATATCTTTACATATTTTTTTTGAAAATTATACAAAATGTTCAAAATGCAGTTCTGCAGAGAAGTCAAAAATAACTCAACAGATGTTCTTTTAAAAGTAATATTTGTTTACAATTGAATTATACTCTTCTATGTATTTCAATATTATGCGGGTTCTATTTCCGCTTGTGGTATTGTGATAAAGTTTTATCTATATTTATGGGTAATAACTTTTGAATGAATAGGTTTATTGAATATTTTTTAATAAACCAATACAAATGTATAAGGGACCTTTTTTCTAAAGCGTTTAATTCCCTACAAGTAAATGTTTTGGTCGTTCGAATTTGTTTCTTGGTTTTTGAGATATAAAATTTTGAAATTGAAAAATAATTTTACCGATGTTATTTCTATGAAAAATAGAAATTCGCGATGCGCGACCTCTGAATATTTATATTAAAAGTTCCGGTTCTTCCAGGCATCTTTTCTCACTTCCCTGTATCTATTTCAGAGAGGATTTCGAAAAAAAATTAAGTTGCTTTTTTGTATCAGTCTAATATATAGTCTATCTAACCATACTAATAGTTAAAACGTACTTAGGTATGAAATGATGAGTCGCTAGTAAGAAATAACAAAAAATATATTTAAAAAAATTAAATACTAACCTTTTATTATCAACAGGTATAACGTCTCTCTGCAGTATGGACATGCTCGCCTCCGCGTCGGCGGGCTGCGTGTTTGTTACATTTATGTTTTCTGTCAAAGGCTTTTTTGGACTGAAACGTAAAACATGAAACTATAAAAAAATACCTGAAAGATTTTTATCTTCATATAAGTGCAACCTTTGTAAATAAAGAATGGAATGAAAAACACAAAATTGATTTATTAAAAAGACAAAATAAAATAATACTTTCTTAGATTTTCGAGAATATTTGATAATGACATTCATTGAGTTGAAATAAAAATATCTTTTCAGATTTTTTGGGGATTTGTTTTGATTTTTGGCTCCCGACATTCGAAATGCATTCGAAACGTCGCGTCGGGTCCAAAAATCAAACTAAATACGGGAAAAATCATAAAAATATAAAATAAGTCAGACAGACGGCATATTTATTGTACTAAGAATCTTTTAAGGGATGTTAAAGCTAAAAATAAAAAAAAACTGCACAATGTATATTATCTTACCTGATGATATTTTTACTAACAGCTATATTTACACGTTGCAAAAGCGATATGCTCTCATCCGGACACATGGTTTCATCGTTACATTTCTCTTGTTTTATCGGTGTATTGAGCCTACAATAATAAAAAACAAAATCACATTCAAATTCCTGCTTCGAGATGTAACATTTACTTATAACTTACTAACGACTCACTCTCGCTTCGGTAGACAAAATAATCATCAATCAATATAATCTATTTCTGTGCCAAATTTCATCCAGATTCGTTCAGCCATTCTGGTGTGAAAGAGTAACAACCATGTATCCAACCTCACAAACTTTTACATTTATAATATTAGTATGGATCAGTAGGATATGAGTAGTCTCAATAGCAAGTTTATATAGAGATATAGAATCTAGCCTAACATAATTTTATAAACTTGGGCGACCGAGTTTCGCTCGGTGTTTTTTTCGGACAAATGTGTTTTTCTCGGAAAAGATATAAATATTGCGTTTTTTTAAGAAAAGACATGTATGTATATAGAAAAACTTAAAAAATAAACTTAAAAAATAAAACCTTATCTAAATACGAAATTTAATTCAAATAGAGCCGTTTTTTAGTCGAACTTAATTATATTAAATAAACTAATTAAATAATTGCTCATTTAATATTAATATTATAAAATTTGATACAATTCTCTTTAAATTGAATATTTTTTTAAAACCAAAATTTAAACAAACACACTTGCATTGCGCAATCGATACATGCAACGCCATCTATTGACATATAATTACACAAAATTTTTTTTGTTACTGATCAGTGATGAAACACCAAAGAATACCTAACTTCATGCACAATAAAGACCTTCGAATATTCATAGATATTGACTTAATGAATTAAGTGGTCACAGTAAAAACTAAAAAGAAATTTACTTTGGTGGATATTGTTGTAAAATATTAATGGACTCTTCCATTTGCTTCACATCAATGTCAGTATTCAAGGGCATGTTTTCTTCAATTTTAATCTTTGACACGAAAGGCTTCCTGTTTTTATTTGGACTCTCTCTTAATATGGATTTACATCTGGAAATAAGTAATGGAGTAAATTGTGTAAAATCTATACAGATAAATAAAATTGAAGTGTATGTTTGTAATGTCAAAATAACAGCTTTTTACTAAAGGCACATGAAAGTATATACATATGTATATACTTAAAAGAAATTTTTTTTTTAATATTTTTGTCTGTCTGTGTTTATTCTGGCGAATCTCCGAAACGGCTGGGCTGATTCTGACGAGACTTTCACTGGCAGATAGCTGATGTTATAAGGAGTAACTTAGGCTACTTAGGCTTAGGCATTCAGGAAAAAGATTTAGGGGTCCATGCAAAAAAGTTAAAACCCATGAAATTATGAACAAAATCTGCGTATACAGGGACGCATCCGAGCGATGCGAGGGTAAGTCACTAGTATGAAATATGAGTGAATATGTACTTATTTCATGGTAACGACTCACCCTCGCTTCGCTCGGGTTCGTCCCTACTTACTATTTAACGTTTAATATAGATTTCTCAGAGACAAGATATTTCCTGCAGTAAAAAGTATTCTATATGTTGACCCGGATAACCGGCTATCATCATACCAAATTACATCAAAATCCTTTGAGTAGTTTTTCCATGGTGCGGTAACAGAAAAACACAAAAATTCTAAAAATTTATTTCAATAACATTTTCCAAAAAATGTTTAATGTACAGATTCGGCTTAGTTACAATTTAATTATATGTATTTAGTATATGTATAGATGTCCATTTTTATTTGTTTCAAAATAAACTTACATAGGTTGAAAAATGGGTCCGCTTGTCGGTGAAGGTTGTATTGTATCATCATTGTCTATTATCTCCTGCTTTATGTTTTGCTGGAAATTAAATTATATATTATGTATTTGTTATAATTCAGTAAATTAATATATATAGCTTTGCACTTTCGAGTCCTAATGTGCTTTTGTTCACATCCCTCAGATCGTAGTACATCTTTTTATTAAATGTCATCCAAATGCAGTTTAAGGACCGCTCCACACTATAGATGCTGAAAGAAACGTTGCTTGAGCGTGATTCGACCGGAACGTGAGTTTTGTTGATAGTGTGAATGCACTCTTGTTTTTTGTATAACAATACTTCAACAGAGGGATATCGGACCGAAAACGAACTGTGATCGGCACTATAGTGCAGAGCGGCCCTAAATGTGCAGGACTAATAAACACACATTCACATACCCACACACACTCACGCCCATACCCAGACACCCACATACACACACTCACACATAACTTTTGCAATTATAATAGTAGTTTAATGTGATTATACAAAACAAAGATTAAAATAATTTCTATTTAAATACCTGCAAATTATTTTCACTGTAACATCTCCCAATTACCTCTGGGGAGCAGGTGAGGTCTACAACATTACACGTTTTCACTTTGACTAAGTTCAGCCTGGCTTGCTTCAATCTAGAACTAGATGCTTTATTGGTGGCCCTTGTAGGTGTTGGAAATATTAGCTTTATATTCCTTTTTTCTGGGGTTGGCCTGAAAACGTCAAAAATATAGATATAAAAAGATAACAGGCAATTTAACTTTTAAACATCACACAATACAAGAACACAATACAAGAAAGAAACTTCTATACATATTATAATAAAATTCTGAGTTAAACATTATTTTACAATACAGAAGCAGAATGTACAGATTTTAGAACTTTTATCTGTCTGTCTGGGAACACATCAGGAGAAAACCATTGATTTTTATTAAATTTAGTAGGTATGATAGCTGCTTATCTGGGTCAACATTTAGAATACTGTTTACTGGAGAAAAATATCTCATCTCTGAGAAATTTATCTAACCCTTAAAATCACTCTTAGGACTAACTAGTGCAGAGCAAGGGTGAGTTATAAATTATTTAAAAATGTTGAAGAGTTGAAAAAATTTATAGTGGGTTGGATAATAAGCATGATTTAAATATTCTCTAGCTCATTAAAGAATAAGAAGCCTAAATAGCTAAAATTTCAAATGTATATTAAAAAAGTATTATGATAAATAAAACCATGTTATCTTCAAACTAATGGAATTATATCAATCTTTATCTTAGGGTGTTTGTACACCACCTCTTATAAACACACCAACAATGCACATATTTGAGGATATAAATTAAAAAAAATGCAAAATACTTGCATTCATATCTGGTATGTATTGACATACATATATACTCATAGATACAAGTGTGCATTTACAGTGTGTTAAAAAGCTGCCGTGTGTATAGCCTATTATATAGCATTATATAGTTTGCCATCATAAAAAAGAAAGCTGCAACTTTGCCAAAGTAGATTTCCAGATATTGAAGTTTTGTCTTAGTACTTAGTAGTAGTTCACATGTTATGATGAAAATGGTTATGGTATCTCTGGATTCATAAGACTTAGAGCTCTATAAGTAAGACAATCAAGAAACATTTATTTTGCTGATTCCGAATCTGCATTTAACTCATTTTTGACCAAACCTCTATAATATGATGGCAGTAATGCCTTTACAAAAAAAAATTATTATGTACCATGATTCTGGGCATTTCTTCTTATCTTTCAAACTTAATGAATGAGTTGAAGTTTTCTTCTTGGTGAAAATTATGGGACTCTTTCTACCTATTAAGGTACTTTCAATTTCAGAGACGGATTCATTATTGTTATTACATGTTTCTTCATTGGGACTAAGTTTATTTATTTCTACCTGTTTTTCTTCAGTAATCTTGTCTCTCATAGGAGACAATACAAGAGGTTGATTCTGAATTAAATGAAAAATTGTATTTAGAATGTTAAAATCCCGTGTTTCATTTAATTTGTGTAATGCTGAAACTGTAACAGAAAGTGAGAAAATGTATTGGTATTGTCTAATATTAAAGTCTTAATATTATTGTAACTTAGGTATTTTCTTCTTCAATAACAATAATAATAAGCAAATAAAATAAATGAGATTAACAATGAATCTTACCAATTGATTTTAATATATTTTCTTTACTAAAGAGTTCTTTCCTTAAATTTTCACATACATTGCAATTATATCTGTAATACAGTAAATTAATGTAATGTTTATAGAAATGGTAGGAAGGCTGGGTAAGTATAGATATTTAAATAGCTTAAATGTCTATTATAATATCTCTGTATGGTGTTTTTTAGTGCATGAGTGAAAATAACAAAATACTTACAAATCGCATTTTTCTTTTTGCGAAAGTAAACTTCTATAATTTCTGTTTTCTAAATGTAGCTCTTCAATTTCTACAACGAGATCTAAAATATAAAACAGGTGCTGTTTGAACAATCTTTACATTGAATCAAAATATAAAACTTACTAAAAAATTACCTTTAAATTGTTTTATTGTTTGTTGTAATGTTGATTCCACTGCTACAATTTTAGACGTTGGAAACTTTTTTGTATCTAAATAATCGTATTCAATAGATGTACCCATGTTGCATTACAAATAAATAAAAAAATGATCTTTTTACCACCAACATTTAATTGTGTGGCTGTGAGTGTGGACCAATTACAAAATTGACAAATGACATTGTGCGTGAAACTGACAATCATATTCATAGATAAAATAAGTCAACTCAATAACAGTTCAGAGTAATGAATATAGAGAGACCTACCCTACCCCAGCCTGCAAATTTATGATATTTGCAATGAAAAAAATACTAATCGATAGATTTTCAATAGCTCAATTTAACTACGTAGCCCTTTCAAATTGCTCACCTTTAATTATTTAATTAAAAATCAATAAAATCTTTGAAAAAAAATTAATTTATCTGTATATTCAAACTCCTATATCTTTTGATGTATACAATATTTCAAATTGCTCAAAGTTCTAAAACACTGCTCAAGTTGCATTTGTAATTGCTCAAGTAGAGTTTTTACCAGCTCCACTTTCGCTGATTATTAAATAATTAAAAGTATAGTTGTAATAAATGTAACGTAGGTTAAGTGAGCGTGCGCATGCGCACCGCGCATTGTCGGTCGGCCTCGGCGGGCTTGGACAATCGTTCCAATTCAACGTCTTAATTCTGTTTCTCGGTGGATTTCTTTAAATTTATTGAATTTATGAATTGTTCACATTACGTGATTCCACTTCAGATATTATAACATAAAGAACAGATCTGGAACAGGCTGGGGTAGGGTAGGTAGATTCCAGATCTGTTCTTTATGTTATAATATCTGAAGTGGAATCACGTAATGTGAACAATTCATAAATTCAATAAATTTAAAGAAATCCACCGAGAAACAGAATTAAGACGTTGAATTGGAACGATTGTTCAAGCCCGCCGAGCATAGAGTATATTGCTACATATATAACCGCCGAGGCCGACCGACAATGCGCGGTGCGCATGCGCACGCTCACTTAACCTACGTTACATTTATTACAACTATACTTTTAATTATTTAATAATCAGCGAAAGTGGAGCTGGTAAAAACTCTACTTGAGCAATTACAAATGCAACTTGAGCAGTGTTTTAGAACTTTGAGCAATTTGAAATATTGTATACATCAAAAGATATAGGAGTTTGAATATACAGATAAATTAATTTTTTTTCAAAGATTTTATTGATTTTTAATTAAATAATTAAAGGTGAGCAATTTGAAAGGGCTACGTAGTTAAATTGAGCTATTGAAAATCTATCGATTAGTATTTTTTTCATTGCAAATATCATAAATTTGCAGGCTGGGGTAGGGTAGGTTATAGAGAGATAACTACCAATAGACTATAAAGTAACTACTGACCACAGAGGAAATCTATCGTAATTCTTTTATAAATAAGTGTATATGATATCACATGATAAAATATAAAAAAATCAATAAAAAACAGTCAACTAATATTATGCAAAAGTTTAATTATTTTAAAATTTATGGATTTGGTTTAGAATATTTTTTTCCTTATAGCAATTATAGTTTTCTATAATTTGTCTATTGTCAAAACACACGAATGTCAACAAAAAGTATTTGTCATCCATGACAAACAGTAACAGGCAAAGGAAGAAAATAGATATGCCAAAAGTTTATTTTTATGGTATTTAAAAATATTGCACTTTATATGAAATATGAGGCGGTAGTCAAACGAATTAAAGTGTTACATTGTGGGTAAGCAATTTATATTTAAATCCGAATGAAATCGAAAATTATTGACTCATCACGATAGCTTTTTTATAAAAAAAATAAGAATTTATACTTTCATTGGAAAAAAGTGTGTTTCTATCACTTCTATTTTTGATTAATTTTATTACAATTCAATTTTCAAAACAAATAAAATTATCTTAATTAAAAACTAATTCTTTGTTACAAAATTGAGTAAATTACTTGATTTCTTCTTCCAAGATGTATAGCTCTAAGCTTGTGCCTTTATTTAGAATTTAAAAGAAACAGGTCAGACGAATATTTTATGCTCAAATTCCTAAAACGTAAACAAATTCTGTACTTAATTATTTTATTTTATTATAATTTCTTACAATATTATGTATGGAAAAACATTTATATTACAGTTTTTAAGATTATCATTATGGAAACCGACGAAGATATGGTTATTGTTATTGTGGGAGATGAAAATGAAGGCGAAGCATTTCCCGCGCCAATTGAAATTAAAGAGGAAATATTAGATGAAGACGAAATGAATCAAATTTTTGTGAATTTACTTAAGAAATTTGAAAGTGGTAGTGAGTTTGATATATCTATCGTAAAAGACGAGCAACTTTCAGATGAATATGATGAACATAGGAAAGAAAACGAATATGAATACTCATTTCTTGAAGATGCTGAAGTCAATCCTGATGATCAAGAATATGTACCTGAAAACCTAGAGGACTCATTAGATGAAATTAGCTTTAGCAGTTCAGATGAAAGCAAAAATAATAAAAAAAGAAAAAAAGAAAGACATAGAACACAAATGCTCAAGCCATCTGAAAGGAAATCTTATGTTAAAGATTTACGAGAACAATATCCTGAGTTAAATGAAGATCAAGACTTGCTTATAACTTGCTTAGTTGAAATAATGAAAGGCACTAAGGCTCCAGCTCCACCCCAAGATTATTTTATCATGAATGGGATTATGTTAGAGTATGTTAAATTAACTAGTTAATGTGGCTGACTAATAAAAATATTATATTTTATCACAATTATTAAATTAAAATCTTCTATTTACAGATGTGTGTATTGTGGTGTTCAGTCCGAGTCTATACCTGCAGCTAGTCGTCATTTTCAAGAAAAACATGGGGAACGATATTTGTATTGCTTTGCTTGTGGAGTAAATTTTAGAAGGTTATCTGATTATTTTTTAGACATATAATTTTTTTAAATGATGAATATTAAATAAAAGTATCTTTTCGATTATTACGTGGATTTATTTTGATTTTTGATTCCCGACATATTGAATGCTTTACAGCAATCATGGTCACGGGAGAGACTGAGGTGTTAGATGTCTCATGAGGGTAGGCTGTCTGTTACAACTATACCTTAGAGACATCTTACACCTTAGTCTCTCCTGTGACCACGATTGCCGTAAAGCATTCGAAACATCGGGAACCAAAAATCAAAATAAATCTGCAAAATAATCTGAAAAGATAGTTTTATTTAAAATGTCAAATATTCACGTAAATCTAAGAAAGTATTATGATGAATATTATTTTTTTATGGAGTTGCATGTTCTCCTGAGCTAACATTGTTTTTTTTACAGTTGTGCACTCTTTGAAATCCATACATTGATATTTTTGATTATTGTGACTTAATAGTAGTTTAACTTGAATATTAAACTTGTATATTTTCTTTCAGTACAACAAATTTGTACAAACATGAAAAACGCTGTACTGCTCCAGACATAAGAACAGTATTGAAGGCTCGAGCAATTTCACTTGGACGAAAGGGCCGCTCTAGACCTTTCATTCCCAAAATAATCGATCAACCGCCTCAGAGGTAAGAAATTGTGTTTAACTGAAGCATATATTAAAATAAGGGTAAGGTTTTATATATAAATTGGCTTGGAGCAACTTTCATATATGATGTATTAAGGCATTTACTACATGTTAACAAGAAATTAAGTTTAGCTATTTTTTATTAAATTCAGTTGTTTCTGGAAATTCATTGATTCTACTATTATATTTGTATATACTTTTTCTTGTTTCATATTTTAAACTAACTTAACATACATATGATTAGTTATGTGACATGGTGTAGTAACTGCCTTGGTGATGTAGTGGTTAATATGTACAGCTGCAGATCCTGAGGTTCTGGCTTCGAGTCTTAGGTTGAGCCAAATTTGGTTATTGAATATTTTTGTTAAAAAGCAAGAGATTGGAAGTTGGCAGTGTTTTATCCCTGAATCTCAAAAAGCATGTGTTGTATCGATCCTGTCCCTGATCTTTCACACTGAGTAGTTGTTATTCCATCAGGGTTTAAGGAGAATGAAATACACAATTGTGCATTATAATAATGTCTGGGTCCATGGACCCATGATTTGTTTTATACATATAAGATTGATCGTCCACTTTTATTCACATCACTTTCTTTATATATTTTTTTTGTTTACTGTTTTGTGCAATAAAAATTATATACTTGTAGTTCTGCGAACAGTAGACTTAGCGAGCATAAACTGCATTTTGAGGCGCTATTCTGCTCATCACGTCGAAGATCCTCATCGGATCTTCACCATTCTTTTATGAGACCAACTCAAATTTAATTTTCAAATAAAAAAAGAACCATTGAAATCGAATTTCATAAGCCGAAGATATCCAGTAGCTCCCTTTTTGCTCCTTTATGGAGGTAATACCCCCCTTTCAATCTAAAATACCGGATAACAAAAAAATCTATGAAGTCGAAACACCTGCTTACTTTTCGTCCAGATTTGTCGTAAAATACGACCTGTAGAGGTACTCCTTTAACAAACTGACAAGCAAATTTTGCCAGATTTGAAGCAGGGACTCTTCGCTCGCTTGGTCAATTATTATGTAACACACGGTGTGTGTGTGTGTGTGTGTGTGCAGGTACTCGTGCAGCGAGTGCTCCGCGTCGTTCAGCAGCCGCTACACGCTGCGCGCGCACACGCTGCACCACCGCGGCGAGCGCCCGCACCGCTGCCGCCACTGCCCCGCCGCCTACACCTCCTACACCGCGCTCTCGGTGACGTATACACACACACACATGTCACGTGATATCGCGTTATCTATCTATACATATAATAAAGTTGTAACCAAGCCAAATCTGTACTTTAAATATTTTTTGGAAAATCTTATTGAAATAGACATTATTATCGATACAGTGGCCGAATCTGTAGTTTTTAGATGTTTTTTCTGTCTGTTACCGCATCATGGAAAAATAAACTACAGGAATTTTGAAGAAATTTGATATGATGATAGCTGGTTATCCGGGTCCACATATGGGATACTTTTTACTGCGGGAAAATATCTCATTTCTGAGAAAAAATACAAAAACTGCAATATAAGAGTATACTAATTATGTAAAACTTAAGCTTTTTGTTTTTGGTCATTTGAACGCGGGCGAAGCCGCGGGCAATGCTAGTATATTATACGATATAAATAAAATAAAATAAAATAGCCTTTATTACAGGAGTCAGAGTTACAGAGTTTTTCAGATAAAGTTGTTTTAGGGTTTACAAAATATCTCTGATTTCTGTGTGCCTTTTGGCAAAGGCCTCCTCCATCTGTCTCCATTGGACTCTATCTAGCGCAACTCGTGTCCACAGTGGCCCTAGAGTTTGGCAGATTTCATCCTCCCATCTCCTTATTTGGCGCCCTCTTGCGTTTACCGTCTCTGGGGTACCAGACCGTTACGCGTTTGCTCCACTTCTCCAGGCTACTTCTTAGTAGGTGCCCAGTCCACCTCCATTTTAATTGGTCAACTCGCGTGAGTATGTTGGTAACTTTTGTTTTAGATCTGATATCATCGTTGCGGATCTTGTCTTTTAATTTCACTCCCAACATACTCCGCTCCATTGCACGCTGACACTTTGTAAGTTTTTCCCTATGGGACTTTGTTAGCGACCAGGTGTCGCATCCGTAGGTCAAGCATGGTAAGATACATATGTCAAAGGTCTTCCTTTTAAGATGGATTCCCAGCACTTTGCTCTTCATTACTTCCTTCAAAGACCAATATTTCTTCCAACCATATGCAATCCTCTTGTTGATCTCCTTAGTCATTTGGTCGCTTGGAGAAATTATTTGTCCTAAATAAACATATTCGGTAACATAATCGAAAAGATCACCATTGATTGTTATGTCTACATGTTTTGAGTTGGTCATTATTTTAGTTTTGTTCTTGTTCATTTCTAGCCCTACTTCATTCTATTCTATTATACGATATACAGCCTAGCAATTTTCTGTACCCAATTGGATGTTACTTTGGCTACTGTTGAAGGAACAAATCAGTCGAGAAGTGGGTGTGGTGGTTGGGTACATACACACATACACGCGCAGACATATACACGCTATACTACATCGTTCAAAAGGTCTTTTTATATGCAATTGTTTTAATATAAACTAGGGGCGCACCCGATACACGCTTATAGTACAATATATACAGACCCATTTTCGCCAAATTTTAACATTTATAGTAATGCAAATGTTTTGCAGACTAAATCGAAACTTTACTCGGGAGTTTTTAACGTTAACGAACTATTGTTACAATTGCTTTTTTTGTATGTGTGTGTGGTAGTAGAAACCGCTGGACAGATTAGGATGAAATTAGGTATACAGATAGGCGATAGACTATAACCTGCTATAGGTAGTTAAGCATCTAAGGACTTATCCGAGCGAAGCAAGGGTGACTCGCTAGTCACATAATACTTCTGGTATGTATTTATTAACGTCCCACTGTTGGGCATGGGTCTCCCTTCAATACGAGGGGGATCAGGCCATAGTCCACCACGCTGGTCAAGTGTAGGTTGGTGGACTTCACATATCTTTCGAAAACTTGCTAAGTTTTGTCAGACGTGCATGTTTCCCTCACGATGTTTTCCTTCTTCGTTAAGACAAGTACTAATCATGTTGGAAATGATTCGTACATGAAAATATCAGAGGTGCGAGACCCGGGATTTGAACCCGCCTCTGGGCTACCGCTGCCAAGTAGGTAAAGTGATTGCGGCGGTCGGTTGCAGCGGCACGTGAAGAAGCACGGCGACGCGCAGTTCGTGTGCGAGCACTGCCGCCGCAGCTTCAAGCTCAAGGCCGCGCTCGCCACGCACATGGACACGCACAGGCGTGAGTCTTACTGAGTGTTGTTGTATATATTGTTAGTTATTTATTTAGCCTTCGTCACTCGATAGACATGAGAGTTAGTAACTCTCTGTTTTCCAATTACAAAGCATAATGCCGCACTTTGGCTCACAAACACGAACTTGAAAAAACACGTATTTTCTGCTACTGAGTTAGTATCATGCCAAACCAGTAATTTTTACAAAGTGCTCGATTGTGTTGTGCTGCAGTTGAAACACGAAGTTGAGCATCAAACCGCATAATTCGCTTTAGTGCTGTAATTGGAAAACGCCCTCTATCTTTCTATAATTATATATTCTATACCAGCATGTTTTAACTAGTCCACAGAGTTTTTTATATGATACTAGTACCTAAACAAGCATTTTTAAATTTTTTGTCTGTCTGTCTTTCTGTTTGTCCGAGGTAATCTTTGGAACGGTTTAACCGATTGTAATGACATTTTTACTGAAAAAAAAGTGATTGTAGGGCTACATATCGGCAGGCCTACCGTCGGGACGTCGTAATTCAGTGCATAAGCAGTAAGCTATCGTGCGACACCCCGTTAAGACGGGGGAGGTTGGGTTATATTTCTTCTAATAAATTATAAAACATAATTTGATTCCCTCTTTTGTATTTATATTTTACAGCGATGAAGAAATTTGGATGCGAGCTGTGTCCCAAACGGTACTCGCAAAAGGCGGCTTTGCTCCTACATGTGAATAAAGTGCATAAAAATTTACCACCCCCATGTGCGTGCCAACTATGTCCGAAAAGGTAAACGTGTAATAATATATATATATTATATATATATATATATAAAAATATATATATACATACATAATACATATTATTATATCTAATGTATGTAAAAACAACAGAGTTGTGACATACGGGATGAAATCTTTAGCTGTTTTTGTTCTGTTACGCCAAAGAAGTATAACTTCTTATGTGCGTACATAAGTACACACACACGTTTTTTTTCTTATCTTTTTGCTCTATCTTACTTTAGTTAAGAATAAAATTAATACAATTAATTATTCATAAAGTTACAAATTTAAATCATTTATGTGATTGCCAGGTATCCGCGGATGTCGTTACTAAAGGATCATATGAAGAAAATTCATGGTATGAACATCATGACCCGGAAGGTATTTATGGACCTCATAAAACCAACTAGTTTTTTTTTAGTTTATGGTGTTTTTTTTGACTGACTTCCAAAAAAGATGATTCAATTTGAATATGTTTTATTCTTTGCTAATTCAAAATAAATTTTTATATCATTTTTTTAATATACTAGCTCATTTATATCAGATCACCCATATAAACTAAAAAAGACCACATGTGATTTTGAAGTCGGTATAACTTTTTTATTTTATAGAATGTCTTTTAAAAAGGAGGAAATATTAAATTTGGGTGCATGATATTTTTTGTTTGAACCTACTTTACATAAATCAAATCAAAATATGTATATGTATTTTATTCCAATAGACTTTTACCCTTTTGAATCGTCACTGTTTTTCATTTTCAAAATTTTAATTAAATGTCAGTATGTAAGTCCGTGACGAATCTGCCATATTTGCTATAATTGTAAAAAAAAAACAAATATATTATTAACATGATTTTCAGATGTTCTTTAAAAAACTGCCGACGATGTCAGAGACACAAGTGCAGCAAGCTAAAGTGATCCTTAAAAGAGAAGTGGACGACCCCAACTATGACTTGGCAAACTTTAACGTGTAGTACACATTGTGAAGTGCATTTACATCACTAAATATTTATTATTATAATAATATATATGTACATACATTACTTATTATTATAATGTCGCATTGAGTTTGTTAGTCCAGGCAATCTCAGAAATAGGGAATAAGCGTGTTAATTAAATAAAGGTAAAATATTTTTTTATTTACAATGTTTATTGCTTTAGAATTAAGCCTATTTTTTTACGTAATTTCTTTTTGATTAAGAAAATAATTATTGAAAAGTGCAAATATAGATGGGAAATTCAAAGTAGTTGAAAAGCAACGCCATTGGTCCAACCGAAAGTGACGTCAAAGTCTATAATAACAGAACCGGTGTTGCCAATTTAGCGGTTTTGTCGCTAAATTGGCAACACTGGTTCTGTTATTACAAGCTGTCGCTAAGCAAAAGTTGTCATTGTGTAGCGCGTGAAATGGCGAAATTTCAGTTTTCTGAAGCTGGATATTTTACTTTCACAATTATATAACGCTATTGTATAAAAAATAAAATATATGACGTATATTCCCTATTTATTATTTCCATATCTATACGGATTTTGTCTCTAAGAAAAAAAAAGAGATTATAGGTTATAAATTATGAAGTTTTAAATTTTCAAAAATGGCTACGGCTATTTATTATTATAGAAATTGATAAAAGTTGTCCCTTCTGAGAAGGTACGTAATATGTATTATAAATGTACAGGGGATCTGGGGACGGGTCGTTAGATGATAATTGTATGGGAATATTGTAAATATTATTGTTATGTACCAAATAAAAGACTTCTATTATATAATATTTATTTATTATAATTATAATATATATTATTTATTAAGTATTTATAAGACATTTTATGTATTTACTTTTAGGGGTCATCCATAAATTACGTCACACGAATTAATGATTTATTGAACCCCCCCTCTCTTGTCACTGGTGGTCACATTTGTAGGACCCGTCACCCTGGTGTTACGTCATATATTTTGCAATTTTACACCCAGAACTGAATAGAATAAATACAGCTGTTACAAAAATGTTTTTTAATAATATCAACATCAACAGCGTGGTACAGCGAGCCGCTTGCTGCCCTGCGAGAATTCGCCAACAAAACAACATAAACCTTATATAGCATAAAGAAAAATATTTTTTTTATAGTTTGTTTACAGTTAATGTTTTATATTGTAATACATTAGATTTTGACATGTCACGTCACGAAGTTTATGACTCCCTCCTGCCCCTTGTCATAGTAAATTTTTAGAACATAATATTTAAAATTCGTTTTTAATTAATATTCCAGTTCTCCATGAATTATACACACATTGTAAATTAACAATAATATTATGATTATAATACCTCATACTATGGTAGTATTGAAGAGCATTTGGGGCTTCTAATAATAATTTTATTTCAATCCATCCATATTATTTTATTAAATGTATTTAAGAGAATAATAAAATAAATCATAATAAATACATTTTGATTACATATTGTGTTGCTGAACTTTAAATAAAAGTAAATTCCATGTTATTTATTTGGTAGTTGAGAACAGTGAGTTTTATTTTAAAGCAGATATGATTTGTAGTCAAAAAAGATATCCTATATTTATACGAAATTGTTTCTTTTTTTTAAATTAAATAGACACAATGCAGCTATGGTTATAATAATTCATTATCTAGCAAAATTTAAATGATATTTTTAACTTTTATGTGTTGTTTAAATAAATTTGATACACATTTTTTTTATGTTATCTATAACACATTTACTATTGTAGTCATTAAATAAATGAATTCAAACTTTTTTGTTATGTTGCTCTCTCAGAATTAATAAAAAAATCGTTTTGATTTTTTATTTTAGTACCTAAGTGTTGGTTAAATAAAAAAAATAGAGTTTACGTAACTTTGACAAACAGGGATGTTAATTCAAAATAAAAAACATTTTAATACGAAAAAGTGTTTTATTACGCACTTATTATTTCAACCAAATGTTTACGAAATACTCTCTATAGCATAATGCATACACGTCATAGAAGACACCACGTAATTTTATAATGCTTCGTTACATACTAGGAAAATACAAAAATATTAAGCGGTATTGGTTCTACCGGATACCTTCGTTATATGCGAAATAAGGAGGATAGAGGTAAGGAGAACCATCTTATATGGGAGAGAAGTTGAAAAAGTGTCCGCTTGTAAGCGGTAAATAAAAGTTCAAAAACTTACCAGAATGGCGCTGGCGTAGTAAGAGGGTATGATATGAATTTAGTTGTAAACAGAGTGCAAAGTGTACCGAGTTGAAAAATTTAACATCCTGGGTCACAGTAGTTATTGAAACTATTTACATAGTCCAAAATAATTTAATAAGTATAATTAAAAGAACTGTGGAAACAAACTGTTTATTGTGAACTTTTAATAATACACACTTGCTATTGTGGCGCCACCCTAATTTAACGCATTTCGACGGACACTTTTTCATCACAGAGATAGTTCTTCTTACCTCTACTCTCCATAATACGAAAGTACGTAAGACGTACGCGCACCGCCATCTTGGTCAGTTAACACTCCGAGACCGGCTTGGTATTTCTAGAAGGCGGGATGACATTTGCAAATGATATGTCAATTATTGTGAAAATGGCGATGAAATGAAATATGAATAGAATGATGCTAAAATAAATCCGCGAAAAAATCCGAAAAGATAAGTTTTATTTAAAATGTCAAATATAAATCTAAGAAGAAAATAAAATGCTTAAATGAATGGATGAAATATTTTGATGATGATGATCATGAGTATAGTTAAATGATTTCTACTTGCTGTACCTTTTAGAAATACCACAGTTTTAATATTATTGGGTGCATATTTTATTGACAGCTGGAAAAGCGCATATTTACTCTTATCTCGAACAACCGATATCGGCCAACATTCACGAAAACTAACATTTATTTTTTTTATCTCGCCAATACTGATCGCAATCTTAACAATGGTCCAAAAATATCTAATAGCATCCCTAAACGATCGAGTAGAAAAATACTTTATGCCTCACAGAAATCTAGTTTTTTTTTAATTTCTCACTTTAAACGTCACCATGATATATTTTTTTTTTGTCGAACGGCAAAGATCCGAGATACATTAGGTCTAAGAGTGTTAATTACAAACTACTGTGACAATCTCAATAAGTTCGATAGTGATTGCATAATGTTCATGAAAATGAAAAAATATAACACCTTTATGGTTACAAATATGTATGTAGAAGTATGAACACCACGAAATTGTACCAGAGATCTATGATTTGTCAAACCGCGCGACGGGACTATGAATTATTTATTCACTATTCTATTTACTATTATCAATAGAGTTTATTTTTTTGGTATATTTTTATATATTTTTACGTACTATTACAACACGGGCCTCGGACAGTGTTTCTTCAGCAATTTTCATAGAACATTGTGCACGTGTACTTAATCTTTATCCTATGTTAACAGATATACGATTACACAAAACAAACATGTGAAATTGCAATGCGTCTATCGATTAACCTTACGATTAAATTAAAAGACGTATCTGATCTCGATTATCACAATATACAATATACCTACCATATTGAACACCAATAGTTTTATCGCGTCTAAAAAGCATATTCAGAATATTCAGAATGCCATTTAAACGAATTTATAATTAATTAACCTCTAATGTGAGTCAAGGTTTCGTTTCAACGAGTGCTTTTCGTGGCGCTATAATGAAAAGCACAGGTGATGTCAATCAAGGTCTCAATTGGTATGGGAACATCACAGAACTCTTTGCTTAAGGTGAATTAATTTAACACTTAAGATTAAAGCCAAACTGAGCCTTCACAGGTAAAATAAAAGATTAAAAGCGTCATAACATCCAGATATTTTAGGCCCGTTCGTGAATAATCGTGTCTTACAGATCTAGGGGAATTTGGAACATAGAACATTTTTATAGTGTTGCCAGGTTCAATATAAATATAAAAATATTTTCACGGTTCGGCATATTGACGATGTAGGGTAAAGAATTGGAGAACTGCATATATCATTTGTCAACTACTGCAAAAATAAATAGGTTTACTATCAAAAACTCATTTGTAATTAGTAAAACCTGGCAACATTACTCACATTGTGCAACGTAAAAAAATACCTGATTTTGAAATAGTTACATTCAGTTTGTTACTCTCTTCCTTATAATTTTAAAAATATATTCCAGATTCCGGTATTTTCTTAATAAATACAACAGTATATATATGGAGTATGTTACAAGTACGTGTTTCTTCTCTAGACATTAGACGGCTGTCACTATTGATGGGGACACTAATTTAGCCATTTATTTTACTTATTGTAAAAATAAACTTTATCGTCAAACGAGCGTTACTTACGATGAATTTATTAATTAATTAGTTATGTATATTACAAATGTATAACTCTAGTGGCAGTTTCAACGCTCTGATATAACAGCGATGGCAAAAGTTCATTGCTTGTGATATTTATTAATTTAATTCTACACACTTCTGCTTTCGACTGTACTAATATTATTATGGCGATATTAATACTTTATATTTTAAAAAACATAGCCATTTCAATCTAAATATGTATTTTTTTAAATTAATAATTTAGACCTTGTACTTTGAATGGCACATTAACAAACTACTTCACGACGTTAATAACATAAAGACAACATTACAAAAATAAGCACAGCGAGTAGAATTAATTTAATACCACACGTCTTACATCCGACTGCATCATGTATAATTTCAAAAATAAATATTGTTAATAAATAAAAAAAAACACTTTCTAGTAGGAAATAAAAACTTTTAAAATATTGCTGTTGGATAAGAAAATATTATACTCTATACTATAAAGTTAATATTAAAATACAGATTAGTGAAAATACCTTTGACTATTAAATAGAAAAAAAAACAACACAATTAATTATAATAGCAATAACTATTTGTTAAAGTAAGTGTAAATTTAATATGAAAATACATTTTATATTACAAGTTCAGTACATGGACGCGCAGTCGGATCGACGTGAATAATCTTTACTCTATGCAATCGGACATCTTTAAAAACGCATTAGCGTTTCGTTTCTATTAAATCCAATGTAACTAACAATGGCAACATTGACTCACGTTGGCATTGACATAAATATAATATATACGTCATTTTGGCATAAATTTTATCACTTTTATTGAGCTGTAAAAAATAATATATTTGATAATATTTATAAAGATTGTTTTAAGGTGAAATCAATTAAATTTTCTATTGAAATAAATCATATGAATATAAGTATAATAATTACTGTAGATGTTGCATTGTTAGTCACACAATAAGGATGCAAGAATATTCCGACGTCGATATATCGATATCGATAGATAATCGAAGCTCATGCATAGATAGCTCTTACATAGATAACATCATTATAATATATAAATGAAGTACCATATGCATATTAGGATAAAATATACGGGGTTAAATGTCTACTGATTATTATTACATCTTTATAGAAACAATAAATGAATAATAAAACTCCTCACTCCTAACCTTTCTCCTTTATATAAAAATCATTCGATTGAATCGATACCTCCCGACTATTTATTATCACTTTCATGAGAATATCAAATTTAACTAAGATTTTGTAAGTATTCCTCCTTCATAATAATAGAGATGACAAAAACAAAACCAGAGGAACAGTCGATAAATGTCTTAATTAAAACTCATAAATCAAAAAAAGAGCGCAAATAAAAAAAAATGGCATATAAAGGCATATGCATCAGGTTTCGACTAGTTTCCTCGAAGAAAAAAACGAAAATATATATAAAGCAATCTTGTACATCTGAAATCATTAGGAACATACATCTGACATCTCTGAGCAACTCTTGAGAAAATCCTTCAAGAAATTCAAAATTCTACACTAATATACTTATCACAGGTTAAGGGGACAAGAGAAAGTATTAGTGTTCTCTCAATACAGCAATTATAATATGTAAATATAAAACTAATACAACTTAAGATATCCGCCAGTTTACGTTCGAGCGGTGAAATGAAATCGTTTGGATAAAACTAGAAATTAGTATAAATTGTAAGCCCAATTGCCCATTCGGGCGGCTGAGATCGATTACTTATGTATATGTAACCACTTGCGATTAAGCGCTGAAGCCAGAATCACGTCATTAACAGTCCATCCGTATCTAATCAAACCCACACTTCCACAATCCCGCGAATCGATTACCGACTATCCCAATAATAATTATGTTTGACAAAAATAATCTCTTTTGTCGCTAATCGATTCGCGAGATTCAAGTTCAAACATCGATAACAATGGTTAGGCGAGTGAGTCTCGCCTGTGACGTCATCACGAGGGTTCGCGCGCGCGTGGCGAGCTCATGTCGGCTCACATCGCGACACCGAGCATCGATATCGATATCGACATCGATAATAATTGGTAATTGACAGTTCGCGTCACAGCACTATAGTCCGAGCGCGGTGGCGTTCAGTCCCACCCGTTCTCTTTCACCATATGTGCAAGTTCTATTATAAACTTGCCTTCTTTATATTTTTGACTGGATTCGAACGCGTACTCCTGAAACATTAAATAAAAAATGTAAAACACAAAACTACACAAACTAATATTAAAAAAAAATGGAATTACAACATTAGTTCATTGGTAGTACCAACGAATATTAGAACCAATTCAACAGTGAAATTGAAAAATTGCTGTTAATATATAATACAAGTATAATCCCTTAATGCTACTCAAATTAATTACAATACTTTTAATTAAAGTCACGACACGGTAATGTTACATACAGTACTCCATCTTCATACAAAAGGTCGGAAATCGAGTTATACCTACGCGCGACGCGTTCGGTATACACTCGGTAGACAACCGTGCAGGGCTGCCACATCGTATAATTTGATACGAAAATTTTATGGGATGGTTATGTTATGTAACTTTTATAATTGAATACAAAAATAAACATTTTCTTCCGCCCGTAAATTCGCTATTATGTCAAACAAAAAAGTATCGAGACATCGTATGTTTTAAAAATAAAAACCAATTAATTAAAAATAAAAATTAAAGTATTTTTAATTAAACTTTTTATCCGAATGCGGATTCTTTATACTATTAAATTTAACAATAAAGCTTTTCGTATGTCTCAGTCGAGGTGCAAATATTTTTAAATCTGAAATTTATAAGGGTCACATACCACTCTTATAAATTTGAGATTTTTTAATTAAATCTACTAATAATATTTTTTAAATAAAATATATAATATTTGAAATCACAAAACTAGAAAGAAACTCAAGTAGGTAGATGAAATTAAAATACTGGCCGGCGGACAGCCCTGTCGCGTGGGTACGCGACGTTCGGCTGTAGGTAATTATTTCAAGGACAGGTCCGAGTTGGAATACTGTATGCATTACATTACCGTGGTCACGATAAAGCTTATCTTATTATATGAGAAAATTTCTTGACAGAAATTCTCCCTAATTGAATTTAGCTGACCCAGGACTCGAACCCAGTACCTCCGGATTTGTGGCCTTGCATGCTAGCGACTTGACCAGCGAGGCAGTTAAATAATTTGTACATGTAGATACTTACATATTTCCAACCCAGCATGGTTTTGCAACATTCGCAGTAAATATCAGCCACGGCGTGCAGCCCCGTGAGCAGCACACGCTCCTCCGCCGGTCCACAGCCCACGTTTACACTGCAAGTGCAATAATTTTATTATAATTATTTCTTCAATTCAATTCTCTTGTTAATGGCTTCAAAACGTGATAGTGAGGCACAGATTACTTCGCCAGTGTCACGTAGAATGGAGAAGACTAATTGGTTTTTATTAATTTATATGATATTTTAGATCGTTTTAGAGATATCGCATTACAAAAGTTATTATTATAACTAAGTAATTTCTTGGTATAATATTTTCAGTAATAATTTAAATTAAATTTAAACTTAATAATTTTTAGAGATCTCAAAGAGGCTAATATCTTGAATTGATCTTTGTCTATGACTGAGGTCAGAAATTCGATTTTCAATTGAGGCAATTTCCTTAAAACTGTTGAGGATAAAGATTTACCTACTATGCACTTTCACCAACTAATTATTATTACATGCAAGAATGACTGTGAGGTTTCTTTCCCATATGCTTTTTTAGAAAGACAATATGGACCTACATTTTTATAATCTTACACCACCAACACTTTTACACTTATTGAATTTTATCGAAGTAAAACAATTTTATTAGAGATTAAAAGTTTTATGTTGGATTTTCTTTTAAAATACATATCTATTTTCAGACGTTTCGAGCGTGTTTAATACACTCAGTATATCGATACCATAAAATAGAACCTACTACTTAGTGAGACGTAAACAGCAAAGAGAGCCTCGTAAAATCAAATAGCTCTTGTTGGAAGTTAACTTATCGAATAAACTATTATTTTCTCAGCCAAATAAAACTTGTACTGTCTCTACATTGTATACATAATAAAATAGGTATCTATAATAGTTAATGCGCATTAAAATGTAATAAGAATACATAAGCTGTGTAATTAGAATTACCAAATATTTATAATTAGGTACTTTCTTATTATTAATAAGATTGGTTATATTTTATTTACTATGTAAATCATTAAGCTAACAGTACACGTAGGGTTACCAACTATACTGTTAAAACAGTATTATACTTTATTTAAGTCTATACTGTTCTATTAAAAAAAGAGTATTTAAAATACTGCTTTTATCATCGCTGGATCTAGAGCCCAAAAATAATAAACCAATTGGCTGCCATTGATCAGTTATTTGTCATTGAATTCCGTGGTGACCTTTATAATTTCGAAAAAAATTGTTAAAAATCTTACTTTGCACAGACTTACTCGATATATTGATGTTGACAATTTATATTTAGCACTAGCGGCTCACCCTCGCTTCGCTCGGGTTCGCCTCTAGAAAAACACTAATAGAAATCTATTAGTTCCCACGGGAACCGTTCATTTTTCCCGGATGAAAAGTAACCTGTTGTTTGACCGGCAATATAAGGTATCAGAATGTTAAATTTTACTAAATTAGGTGCATAAGTTGTATAAGTTAAAATAGTTTTTTAACTATCCCACGGGAACCATTTAATTTTCCGGGATAAAAAGTTATATATAGTTAAATATCTAAGACGTTGTCCGGGGATATAAGGTATCACCATGCAAAGTTTCATTTAAATCAGTCCAATAGATTCGGAGATTAGCCCGTACAAACAAACAGACAAACAGACAGAGAAACAAAAAAATTGAAAAAAATCTGGATTTGTTCTATTTGTCTTCTTACATCCCCCTGACTCGCGATGGCTTATTATTAGCGTATTTCATGTATACTTTGGTGTTTTTATACCGATTTCTATGATTCTTTTTCATGGAATAGTTTATAATGTTAACTTTTTTAATTAGGGATGACTGAGAGTGTTATAAACGTAAGAGTCAAGAGACAAATATAAATCAGAAAGCTTCGAACTGCTAAGCTATCGGGAGTTACACGTGTTATTGTAAGCCAACCATAAAAGATAGACATATGCTGTCGTGGAATATTTTTTATATAATTTTAAGGAGAACATTTCCGTCATACATGATTTCTGTGTAGCTTTAACCATTAAGGTAGCACACGCGACGAAAGCTTAAAAAATGGAGTAACTTCTCCCGTTTTCCCAACATTTCCCTTCACTGCTCTGCTCCTATTGATTGTAGCGTGATGAAAAGTATACTATAACCAGCTCAGGAGTATGAAAAATAATTGTACCAAGTTTCGTTAAAATCCGTCGAGTAGTTTTTGTTTCTATAACGGTTATACAGACAGACAGACAGACAAAAATTTTACTGATTGCATTTTTGGCATCAGTATCGATCCCTAATCACCCCCTGATAGTTATTTTGGAAATATATTTCATGTACAGAATTGACCTCTCTACAGATTTATTATAAGTATAGATAAATACAATTTCAAGTTGTTCAAGAAGCTAAAAAAATATATTTTTAAAACTTTAAAAGAGAATTAAATACTGTTTATTTTACTAAAATACTTTTTATTTTAGCTCTCCAACCCGAATAAGCTTTATTTCTTGAACAAATAGTTGGCAACCCTAAGTGGATGATACAATACAATATGAAATTTCTTATTATTTTATTCTATATGTACGTAGGTACTTTTGTTTACATAATTGTAATAATCTAATCAAATACATTGCTACGCTTAGATTTATCACTTAAGTACTCTTACAATTTTTATTTGATTTATCACTTAAGTATATTACAATTTACAATAGATACTTTATAAATGTATCTGAAAATGATATTTGTTGTAAAAAAGAAGAAACTTGGAGGAGTTGGTAATATGAAAATATTTTATTTAGCATTAAATTATTACAATTTTTACTGAACGTCATGTCTCATTCATGAGTTTCGAAACCACCAGTTTCGAAAGAAGCAGGGTCAGATCTGAGAAGAACTGTCGAAAGAAACTCAGTGGTATCTCTACAGTCTACCGCCACGGTTAGCTTCATGACTACATTTATTATCAATAGACACATCAAATAAAATATGAGTCGTGTGAATAATATATAAAATGTATGAAATATGCATGGCGGTATAATTCGACGTAAAGAAATAGGTAAGTGGGGAATAACTTATTATATTCAATATCAAGTCTCCTTTATTTATTAGTATTATAGCCATTATAGTATTAGGTATAATTCATTCACTTAAGGAATATATTTTTATTTATTTGAATAACATCTAACGAGAGTAATCAAACAGTGAATAGGATATCTAATAAGCTGGTTATTATTAGCTATTTTTTTACACTTTTCGACAACGTACCTATATCCAGCATTGGAGGAAATTCAATCGATCGATCAATTTTTATTTTATACTAGCGGCTTACCTCTAGATATGTGGATTCTGTTTACAATTTCATGGCTTTTAATTTTTTTTTTGCGTGGAAAACTGATACATTTTTTTAAATAAAAGTAACCTAAGTTACTCCTTATAACATTACCTATCTGCCAGTGGAAGTCCCATGAAAATCGTTCCAGCCGTTTCGGTGCTTAGCCGGAAAAACAGCAGACAGACAAACAGACAAAATTTTAAAAAAGAAATTTCTTCTTACCTAGTACCGTTTATACTCTCTTAAGCATTTAGTAAAACGCTCTTATTTTGACATTACAAACAGACACTTCAATTTAATTTATCTGTATAGACGATTAATTATTTAAAAAGTTTAAATTACATTTATTATATAAGTTTTTTTTGGATTACAAATATTTAGTCAAGAAAAAAAAACATAAAAAAAAATAGTTTATTAAGTATATAAATGGGTAGTTTACTTACACTGAATTGAATAGATACGCGCGCCCCTGACTGCCTTGGAACGACTGTAAAATAACAGTAATAATGTTAAATTACCAAGTTAAAACTACAAATGTTTTTAATGATCTCATTTATGTACATCACGATTTGCGGCTATAAACAGATTGAGTGTACGCGTCGTAAAATACTTTTACATCATTTTGTTGCCTAGAATTACTGCTTCATCTTTATATAGAAGATACTTAGCTTTCGACCGTCACTCACTTAACACTTTATACTATAAAAATAGCAAAATGTCTTTTTATCTTGCGGGAACACTTTTGTTCTGTCGGGATACAAAGTAGCCTGCCATTCTTATCCTGATCCTCTATACACCAAAAAAGTCATGTTATAATTAATTCAACTTGTTCAGACAGATAAAATATTTATTATTATTGTTTAGTTGTTTTCTATATAATGAAGACCGAAGACATTATTTACTTATTACAAGTCATATTTAGACAAGTAGCCATATGTGCTCAATATAGAGTAGATCGATGAAATAGCATAAGTTTAGACGTTAAACGCGATAATACATATTAATTTAAAATAAAGTATCCCTAGCTTAGTAAAGTGTTGTTATAAGCAAAATAAGTGGAGTAACCTATTTTCTCTCGAATTCCAATAGAGTGTTAGTAAAATGCTAGTGGATTATTATTTTGCAATAAATTATTAATTTATTATTATAATATTATTCTGTAATATGTTCTCATTGTACTCTAAAATAGGTAGGTACTGATTGTTTGAATTTAAATTTCAGTGCCAAAATAATACTTTGTAATTGAAAACTAAAATAAAAATATTAAAAGTTACACGTCACGTGACATACACACACGTAGTTTCCTTTTCTATATATACATATGTATGAAAAAGAAAAAAATGTACTTATAACTAAACGCATAGGAACATTATACCGAAAAGCGATTTTTATAAGTTTCAACGCCATCAAATTGTCTTAGCTCTGAGCATTAAAATAGAATGAGTTGTGATTGTTGTGTCTATTAAGAGTGGGCAGGTACCATGGGTTTTAGTTGGTGTCACTAGTCATAAATGCGTAAGTAATATGTGTGTATGTTTGTTACTCCTTCACGCTGAAACAGCTGGACCGATTTGGATGAAATATAAGTATATAGATAGACTACTAGCGATTCACCCTCTCCTCCTCCTCTCCGCTCAGATTCGTCCCTAGTTACGTTTTAACGTTTAGTGTAGATTTCTCTAAAATGAGATATTTTCCACAGTAAAAATCCTATATGTTGACACGGATAACCAGCGATCGTCATACCTAATTTCATTAAAATCTGTCCAGTGGTTTTCTCGTGATGCGGTCAAAGACAGACAGACAGATATTTAAAAACTATAAATTCGGCCTTTGTATCGATAATAATGACTATTTCAATAAGATTTTCCAAAAAATATTTAATCGACGCAGTTAGAATTTTATAATACCTGGAGTAACATATAGGTTACCGTTAGGCGCCAAACAAAACGGAGTCGCTAATGGGTTTAAATCTCACCTTTGATATAAGCTCGTCATGGCTGGCGAGATGAGCGCGACAGTGTATACAGCTGTATGTGCGATGCGCCGGCGGCAGGTACGCCTGGAACGTCTTGACAGGGGTGCGCGTTGCGCCGCCCTCGCCTGCCACCCCGCCACGGTTAGTCACCCCCTCACGCATGAGTGCCTGCTAGCTACCAACACACACCCAATGTACATTGTACACCCCCCGCCGTCATTCATACAGCCCTAAGTGCACTATCCGATGACCGCCATTGGGATTCGTCACGATCAAATGTGTTAGCGCCACGTCTTTAGTTAGGTTATGGAATAATGAATAATATTATATAAAAAAATTATATAATAATAGAAGCTCCGAACCTTCTCCTTTTTTGTACAAAATACTTTATTGACGTTTACTTTTAATAAGCTGTGACATATCTCAATCAATGCTTAAATTCACAGATAATATATCCATTTTATCTAGTAACTACAAAAATAATATTTAAATATTTGGCAACCTGTTCAGTTAAAATTATAATCTATAAGCATTACCGAAAGCTTGTTCTGGCTTATGGTAAAATTTACAGCAGGAGGCTTACAAAAATGAAAAGCTTTTATCGGCTTGTTTTTAATCCCAATCGCAGTTTTTCCTTCCCATAGTGCACGTGGGGCATTCGGTAACAGCACTCATGCGGTAACAATCAAAATAATTAAACTTAAACATAAAACACCTAACAAAGCAGCAAATATATTACAATATAAATATAATAATATCAAAGAAACTTTAAATAAACATCAAAAGGATACGTTTAAACAACTTAAAGTAATTTTAAGCGAGCGTGTCAGATTCTCTAAGTAATAATATAATAAAAAAATTCTTTAGCAATTTGATAAAACATATATTTTCACGTTTTAAAAGGTTTCTACAGACACCTCATTCGACGCGTAGGAGTTAAGTTCATTAACTTCTTAAAAACGAATTTGATTTAACAAGAGTATAATATCATCGTCTACTAAAACAATACGTCTGATCGCACAAATTAAAATGCATCCAGGACAATGGAGTATAAATAAGCTTAGTTGACTTTAAGTCATCAAATTGTCGTCAATTGTACCAATTAGAATCACTGTTCCAAGACATTCGCGCTAGTTACTCGTAGTTTGCATGGAAACCAGCTACGGCATCTACATGTATATAAGTTCCTTATACAAGTGAATGTAGTTCCCAGTTCGAATGACACTTGTTAAATTATGAGAGTTATGAAATTTTACATCTATGTTATAAAGTTGTTATTTATTAGGAATGTTTGTCAGCGATACTGTACTGAAGATAAAAATCGTAGAAACAAAGTTTAAATATATTAAATACAGAAAATGGTGCGATTAATCGCGTAAGTCAGCTCTATCTATTGTTGTAAGTTTTCTCTCTATCTCTGGTCTGCAACATGTTCCATGTCTACAATTCAAAGTTTTATACAAGCGAAACGATACTAACTTGCGCTTCGTGACATATGTTCAGTAGACGTTCTGCATGAATATCTTATTTTATTTTTAAACTTTACTTAAGAGGGGTTTAGCAACGAAAATTTCATAGTTTACATTTGATTTTAGGCCTACATATTTACGACCCATGGCTGTTCGTAATATTAATTCTGTACGAACTTTATTTGACATCACTGAAACATTTTTTAAATCATATAAAGCACATTTCAAAAAATACTATAATATTATTTGCTTTTATAGTAAGGATGTCGTATATGCATTATAAATTGACCTAATAAGACGTTGAAGGCTGATTTTAAAACCATCGTCATCAACTTATAGGACGATCCCGATCCCGATACACAGGCGAGGTAACGCCAGTGATATATTTTAACATTTAGCGCCCTGATAAACGGATATTGTAAAAAAATTGCATAAAGCGAGGGAAAAATATAAATGAAATTCATTCTTATAAGAAGCGTACAACATTAGGGGCGTTTAATGTTAGGCTTTGGGCGACAAATTTTAAAATACTTTACTCCCTATAGGGTACAGATTATAGAGTACAGTATGTAGAGGTACCGTACCTGCTTGGCGTGAGCAGCACGCGCCCGCCGCCCACATGAGCCGCACGGACCGCTGGTCACCTGCCGCGCGCGCCCTCGCACCGCGCCGCGCGCTCCTTCCTACCACCCGCCACCCTCTGCTGACAAAAAGAAACACTATTAAAAATGCGAATATTTCACGCTAAAACGACTAGACAGATTTCGATTAAATTAATAATGATTATTAATTTATTTCAAAAATTAACTGCCTCGGTGGTGTAGTGGCTAGCATGTACGGCTGCACACCCGGAGGTCCTGGGTTCGAGTCCCGGGTCGGGCCAAGTTTAGTTATTGAGTCTTCCTGTATAGTAAGTCTCAGTAACAGCCCGGAGTTGGGAAGTTGGCGGTGTTTCACCCCCGTGCCTCGGAGAGCACGTAAAAGCCGTCGGTCCTGCGCCTTAACTCTCACCGGTCGTGTCGAGTGGTCGTCCCACCGGAGTATGAGAGTGATAGGAATAGAGAGTGCACTTGTGTCTGCGCGTACACTTGAGCACTATAATATCTCCTGCGCAGTTGGCTAATCTCATTGAGATTGGCCGCCGTGGCCGGAATCGGCTAGGAGAACATCATTATCATTAATTTATTACTACATAATTAAAAAAAAAACTAAATATATAGATAATGACGTAGTGTAACACATCGGCACCTAGGAACGCACTTGAGTGAAACGACGGTATGTCGCTAGTATTGCTATATTTATACACAGAACTTCGTAGAAAGGAAAAGGTCTTTACTTCTAAGCCACGGATTTTGATACGGTTTTCACTAATAGAAAAAACTATATACGAGGAAGTTTTATGTATACCATTTGAAATATTTTGTACAAAATGACTGAGCCTAGACGGTGTTTTGTGAAAAAACTGTTATCATTCGATTACATGGCTAACTTAAGGCTAGCTAAACCACAGATTAGAGATACACCAAAACGATGTACTAAAAAATTGTCCGTCTTAAAAAGACCTACAGAAAAGTCTGCGATAGCATGTGTCTATCTCTTAAGGTATGCTCACAATAACTGTTTTTATCTTTATAAAACGTACCTAGAGATGCATCCGGATATAGCGAGAGTAAGTACTTTGCTTTTTAAGTTTATCTATATAGGTATCTATTCAGAAAAAAACTCAATTTTTATATCTGTTCGTTCTATCGCCCAGGTACTAGAAGTTATTTATCAGTATAATACTAGCGACTCACCCTCGCATCGCTCGGGTTCGTCGCTAGGTACTTTTTAACGGTTAGTATGAAATAGAAATCTTAGAATTTCTCGGTTATTCTGTACTATAATATGCGTGTATTATACATATAAACCTTCCTGTTGAATCTCTCTATTTGTTAAAAAAACCGCATCAAAGTCCGTTGCGTAGTTTTAAAGATTTAAGCATACATAGGGACAGACAGACAGCGGGAAGCGCCTTTGTTTTATACTATGTAGTGATAAATACACTTACTTTATAAAATTAAATCCAAGACATTATAATACCTACGAGTATAAGAAATTATTGACAAATCGATATGAAGAAAATATTAATTCAATACAAGAACCATACTTATTAAACAAAATAGCTTTCTACAAATTCAATTACAATAAATAAAAAAATAAATTAGATACGTCTTATAAATTGAAGTTTACATGTGAGTATGTATGTTTAGGGCGTATACAAACTAGAAACTAAATAAAGGTGAAAATTAATTACTTACAACGTAAAATGTTAGAATTGGAACGGATATTAGGTTTATTACTCATAGCAAATGTCATCAGTGTAATTGCGTGCATATGGACCTCGTTAGCCAATAGCTAACACGGCTCTATACTGTACAATGGTTTTACTACTGCACAAATAAGAACATAGAAGCACGATACTATCATTTATAGATCACAATATAATAGCAGGTGAATTAAATACGAAATAAATAAAAATATCTTTTCGTACTTTTTCGCAGATTTATTTTGATTTTTGGTTAAAATTTTTGGTTACAAAATGAAATCATTTTGTAAATTTATGGGTAGGCACTGTCTGTAACACAACATAACCATATAATGACCTTTGAAATGTCTAAAACCAACTTTCAAACAAACTTTCTAAAACTTTCTTTGCTTTAAAGCATTACAAACATCGGGAACCAAAAATCAAAATAAATCCGCGAAAAAATCCGAAAAGATAGTTTAATTTAACATGTCATAAATTCGCGTAAACTTTAAAAAGTATTATATACGAAATAATTTATTTTTATATGTACAAGGGTAGAAAGAGGATTTCTCATTAACGTCTTGTTAGAGCTTAATTTTTTAATTAAGAAATTCGCAATAATTCCCGCTTTAGATTACCGTCTTTGTATTCTCCACGACTTTCTTTCGCGACTTTGAGGTTTTCTTCATATAATTTTCGTCTGCTGACTAAAGGATTTAGAATAGACAGCTTGTTAGATACTAAAATTGGGGAGCTAGCTTTTGTTGAGATATCGTAAATATGAATAGTAATTCAACCTTAAACTTTGTTATTGAATCTTTTAAAAGTACTTTACTTAATTATAATCAGTAAATAAAGTCAAAATATAACTTAAATAACTTTTTATGATATAAAAAGGCCTGTCTTGCTGTTTATACACAAAAATAAAGGTATACACAGACTCAAAACAATAAAAAATAAAAAACGTGTTTACATAAAAACTGGCCACATTAATGTAGGTTTTCTAGAAAGGGCTCAAATAAGCTTTGAGAACTTATTTTTCGCCGCGTTTTATAAAAGAATAAATTGATTTGAAATGAATAAAACATAATCCTTATGAAATTGGCGTAGAATATTCTGACATCTGAAAGAAGGTTGGTAAATAAATAAATTCGTTAACGTGCCGGCTGAAGACTTAATGCCAAGCGTCAAGGATAACTCGTAGACTGGTGCTCGGTGGGCCGGTCACGTTTCCGTCTGTTTGTTTAACTTGATTCTACTTTTATATTATGAAACGTTATTCTATTTTTGTGTCGCGATCTGATAATGTCACGTCATGTTTTATAACTTAACTAGCATTACCCGCGGCTCCGCCCGCGTTCAGATGACCAAAAACCAAATTCTTATGTTTTACATATTAATGTACTCTTACATTGCAGTTTTTGTATTTTTTCTCGGAAATGAGATATTTTCCCGCGGTAAAAAGTATTCTATATGTTGACCCGGATAACCAGCTATCGTGATACTCAATTTCACCAAAATCCCTCCAGTGGTTTTTCCGTGATGCGGTCACAGATAGACAGACAGACAGACGAAAATTATAAAAACTATAGATTCGGTCTGTATCGATAATAATATCTATTTTGATAAGATTTTCCAAAAAATATTTACTGTACAGATTCGGCTTAGTTACAATTGTATATACCTATGTAGATAAATATATAGTCATTTAAAAGATATAATGAATATAGCACAAGTAAATTGATTAGTAATTATTAATCAAGTCAGCGCAGTAAATGCGTGTCAACAGGAAATCGTAATCGATGAAATCTTGATCTCTTTGATCATTGTAATTCACAAATGCATTTAAAACATACCGATATGTTATAGAAATTTTAAACAAAGATGGGAATTATGTATACTTATATATTCATACGTTAGTACTACTACTAACTAGATCTTATTATTAGAGTGTAATATAGTTTTTGCCGACGGTTTCGCTCGATTAGTAAGTGTGGCAGTTATCAAAGGTACCCTATGTCCGTCCCTAGGAGGTCTATGTACTTGCCAAATATCAAAATCTATTCAGTGGTTTAGGTGTGAAAAGGTAACAGAGAGTTACTTTCGTATTTATAATATTACTTATGGATTTGTCAGTAAAAACAAACTTCAACATTTTCCCAATATATAGTTATGTTTCTAAAGCTAATTTGTTCATACTATTAGTGCTAAATAAACAAAATCAAATATAACAAAAATCCAATATCTGACAAAAGAACGTTGAAAAAAAAACGATTGATAAATAGGAAAAAGCAAAGTAAATAATCGCTAAAAATTGGAATAAAATTTAACATCTGTTTATAATATTGTTTTGATCTAACCACACAAACAGACATACAGATACTCTCATACTTATTCCCCCTCACTTCACATCGGGGCTGGAGATATTAGATATTGGCGATACATTAAGAATGTAATTAAAAAAGTAAATGAACGTATAGCATTGATTTGACAACACGTTTGGCTCAGTTTGTAGTAACCCTACTTGCTGTACCAGTTGTCGCGGGTTCGAGTCCCGCTAGGGGCATTCACTTGTGTGATGAGCATGAATGTTTGTACTCCAGTATGAATGTTTATTTTTATAATATGTATGTATTTAAAGTTATATATATGTAGTATATCAACTATCTGGTATCCATAACACAAGCCTCGTAGCTTACTATGGAACTAGATGGTGATGTGTGTTAATGTTCCAACATATTTATTTATTATTTATTATTGATATTTTGTAACGTAATATAAAACAAAGTATGGAGCCGATATGATTAACGTGTTATATTCCGATATGAATACGAATTAATAATAACGTAACGGCAAAATACTAAACACAATGGCTGTTCAGCGTACAATTTACCTATATATACGTACATACATAGTATTATACACTAAAAATAAATTAAAATTTGGTTAGGGTTTCTCAGTAGAAATCTATACTTTAAATTGTTTTTGATCGACTTCAAAAAGGAGGAGGTATGTACACATTTTGGGTCAATTTTCTTGTGTATCATGCTGTATCATCGCAAATTGTAAATTGATTTTCACCCTATATATAGGATGATGATCATAAATTTTAAGAAAAATATAAAATTTATAAATTTTAAGAAAAATGTCTATTCATTAGAGATGATTGTTAATGTGATTTTAAAGCACTGTAACTTTTTAGTTAAAACTAATTTCATTTCACTGGCTAATTTTACTATGTAGGTATAGTAGGTATTAGGTAATGGTGTAGAACTAGGAGTTAAAGCAATATCCATACTAATATTATAAATGTTACAGTTCGTGAGGATGGATGTACGTTCGTTACTCAATCACTCCAGTACGGCTGAACGGGTCTGGATGAAATTTGACACAGAGATAGATTATAACCTGGAATAGCACATAGGTAACTTTTTATCCCGGAAAAATGTACGGTCCCGTGGGATAGATTTGTTTTTGTTTAAAAACGAACCCGAAGCGAAGCGAGGGCGAGTCGCTACTCGCTAGTAGTATTACCTAGATTTGGTTCCGACAGACAGATATAACTTTTATAACTGTCGATTTGGATCAAATCACATCGCAAACTTTTTCCCGTTTTCATTTTCTATTAACACAAAAATTTGTCCACAAATCTTAATCAATTTATATGAAATAATGACATGATACGGACGATAATCACAAAAATAATCAAAAAGCATTTTCCACTATTTCCACTAATTAAAATATTAGTTCGGTGCGGCATTAGACGCGAACTCATTTACCTAATAGAATGACTTTTCATTCGGCCTCCGTCAGACGATCTGGAATAAATCCAGTTAAGTTAAATCTAGGTTAAGGTCTTTGTAAAGTTACTCTTATAAAACCATTGTTTATGAGCACGCGAAAATTACAGTTTCTACGTGCCGTATATTTAGATTTCGTCTGCATAAACGAAAAAATCGTAGTCACTTTATAGTGGAAAAAGATTTAGAGTATAAAATTGCAATTTTTTAAACCATCTAGCACAGTGTTTGAAGCCAAAACATAGTAGGTTTGATTCTCATACTGGGTAAACATTTGTATTAGTACATTTCCCTGTTATAATCAGGCAATAACATAAATAAACGTGAACTTGCCAACAACACGTCGCCTAAATGGTAAAATGTCTTTGTGAAAAGTAAAAAGTTGTGAGACTACTTTTCTTCGTATCTTATTTTTCTTATGTATGTGTGTATGTATTCAGCCCTTTTTAACGTCCCACTGCTGGGTACGGGCCTCCCTTCAATGCGAGGAGATCAGGCCTTAGTCCGCCACGCTGGCCAAGTGCGGGTTGGTGGACTTCACATGTCTTTCGAAAAATTGCTAGGTTTTCTCAGACTAGCAGGTTTCCTCACGATGTTTTCCTTCACCGTAAGGCAAGTGGTAATCATGTTAGAAATGATTCGCACATGAAAATATCAGAGGTGCAAGCCCGGGATTTGAACCCGCTTCACTCGGTTTCCCAAGCGAGCGCGTTACCACTGGGCTACCAATGCCTTATTTTTCTTATGCTTTTGATAAAATATGTACATTGAATACTTTTTTAATATATTTCTTTTCTGAATTCCCATGTATGAATTAATTTCTAAGTATATATTTAAAAAAAACATAAAATTATACACGCCATCATCAACTGAGGCACTTCAAAATTATCGTAGTACCATGAAAATAACCATATGAGTTAATTTACTATATATCCGTACCTTAAAGTTATGATTGTTTTAGTCCTATTAAAGTTATAATGGAATGAAACTGTGCGAATATCTTATAAAATATGCTAAAAGGATATAACTATACTAATATTATAAAGAGGTAAAGTTTGTGAGTTTGTGAATTATGAATTTGTGACGTTGTAGGGGGTAATCCCTGGATCTACTAAACCGATTTAGATGAAATTTGGTAAGACTATAGTTTGAGACCCTAGTAAGGACATAGGATACTTTTTATCCCAAAAATCATCCTTTAAGGGGTTGAAAATGGGGATGAAAGTTTGTATGGGGAATCAACCTAGGGACGAACCCGCGCGAAGCGTGGGTGAGTCGCTAGTTATATTATATAGTATGTATGTACAATGTACATATAGATACTTTGTACGTGGATATAATCTAAATTACTAGACGGGTGGTCTACGTTGAGAATACGTTTGGCTGTATTTTAAATGCGCGTCATGTTAAAAATTCAATTTAGTATCCACAGCAGGAATAGACGAAGTATAACTCGTAGCATAATTAACTGCAATCTGATTTAGGTTTCGTCCTTTCTGAGAATCTCGAGATATACTCGCCTGTATTACAGGAAAACAGATCTAGGTATAAAGAGGTAAAGTTTGTGAGATTGTGAGTACAATTCACAGTAGAGTTTATGACGTTGTAGGGGGTAATTTCTAGATCTACTGAACCGATTTAGGTGAAATGTGGTAAGAAGATAGTTTGAGATCCTAGGAAGGAAAAAGGATACTTTTTATCGCGGAAATCATCCCTTAAGGGGTGAAAATGGGGATGAAAGTTGTACGGGGAATCAAGATAGGGACGAACCCGAGAGAAGGGAGGGTGAGTCGCTAGTATTGATATATTGTTGAGTGTGGGAGGTAAATATTGTATGGTAAAAAATTATTTACTGTTTTTTTTTCTGAAATAGTTTATTTTCTAATGAA